GACTATTGAGTGATTGGGACGACCAAGATTCGCGCCAATTCCGTTTTAAATAAAATATTGTAAAATGAAGGGGTCCTGATAATATATACATTAATTAGTTATAACTTATAAGTTAAACAAAGGCACAGGATTTTAACGTCTAAATGGTCATCTGAATTTGGTATTATTAATCATAAATGTATTTGATATTATTGTTTGACCTACATTATGCAATTATTCCGATGTTTCAACCTGAGTATACGGTAGATACATTATAGTCCCCAGGGTGAAAATGTGAACGAGATTAATGGAGGAATATTAACTACGCTGTACTAGTCATAATAATTGTAATTAATATTTAAATAAATATTATTACAATTATTATATATATATTATTACAATTATTATATATATATATATATATATATTAAATACAGTCATAATGTTTCATATCACAGAAAAATTCGTTCTCTGTTAATTAGTTATTTCAAATGGTAGATGAATAATTACAGCCTAAAGGAGGATAAAATACATGATCTGAATGGCTTCAGTAGATATTGAATAATGCAGTAACTAGACTTTTTTTGGAAAAATATATATTAATATTAGACATGAAGGATTAAAAAGTTCAGAGGTAGGAAAATGTAAAACGAAAGACGAATTAAAGTTTTGTTTGATTCTTATTGGTCAACAGCATGTATAGTCGAATGGCAAACATGCTCATTTCTCTCATCATTTGCTTTACATTCTTGTCCCCAAGCTAAAACCCTTAACTAATTTATAAGAACCAAAATCTAATTTCCACACAAAGGTAAAGTAAGGTATCAAAATCAATAGTACTTAAGATTGACTGAGGTAATCTTTTTTTTTTTTTTTTTTTTTTATAGAACGGGGGGCAAACGGGCAGGAGGCTCACCTGATGTTAAGTGATACCGCCGCCCATGGACACTCTCAATGCCAGAGGGCTCGCGAGTGCGTTGCCGGCCTTTTAAAAATTGGTACGCTCTTTTCTTGAAGGACCCTAAGTCGAATTGGTTCGGGAATACTTCAGTGGGCAGCTGGTTCCACATAGTGGTGGTGCGCGGCAAAAACTGCCTTGAGAAACGCTCAGTTGTGGAACGTCGGACGTCGAGGTGATACGGGTGGAATTTCGTATTCTGCCTCGACGTCCGATGATGAAACTCAGCTGCAGGTATTAATCCGAACAACTCCTCTGAACACTCTCCATGGTAAATGCGGTAGAAGATGCAGAGTGACCCCACATCTCTACGCAACGCCAAAGGATCAAGCCGCTCGGAGAGGGATTGGTCGTCAACGATTCGAACCGCTCTGCGTTGTATACGGTCAAGTGGAAGGAGCTGGTACTGGGGAGCCCCGCCCAGAGGTGAGAGCAGTACTCCATGTGGGGCCGAATTTGCGCTTTATATAGTTGCATGCGGTGGCCCGGAGTGAAGTACCGTCTCGCCTTACTGAGCACACCAAGCTGTTTTGAGGCTAATTTAGCCTTTCCCTCCAAGTGACCGCGAAACTGAACGTCGCTCGATATGTCAACGCCAAGTATTCCAATGCTGGCTGTGGCTTTAAGAAGAGTGTTTTCGAAAAGAGGAGTAGCGACAAAGGGTGTTTTTTTAGCGGAAAACGCGCAAACTTGTGTCTTCTTGGGGTTAAATTGGACTAGGTTTTGTCTGCCCCAATCTGAGACTCCACGAAGTAGAGTTTCAACTTCAGACACAAGTTTGTTCCGGTACTCATCAACAACTGCCCGAGAAATACCTGCCCGGCCAATGTAAAAAGTATCCCCAGTACTGTCATCCGCATAGCAATGAATGTTGCTAAGTTTCAACATATCATTGATATGCAGAAGAAATAGGGTCGGGGATAGAACACAGCCTTGTGGGACCCCAGCGTTTACGGGTTTTAGGTCGGAACATGCTCCGTCGATGACGACCTTGATGCTCCGATCGGCCAGAAAGCTGGAGATCCAATTGCGTAATTTCTCGGGAAGCCCATAGGCTGGAAGCTTCGAGAGCAGTGCTCTGTGCCACACCCGATCGAAGGCTTTCGATATGTCCAAACTAACCGCTAGCGCCTCCCCCTTGGACTCAATTGCCTCTGCCCATCTATGTGTAAGGTATACAAGAAGGCCACCAGCCGAACGACCACGACGAAAGCCGTACTGATAATCGCTAATCAGCTGGTGGCCCTCTAGATACCTCAAGAGCTGGCAATTAACAATGGATTCCATTATTTTGGAGAACAAGGAGGTTATAGCTATTGGGCGATAGTTGGACGGATCAGAGCGATCGCCTTTTTAGGGATCGGATGTATCAATGCGGTCTTCCAGCACTTCGGGACAGTGCCGAGCGAGTACAGGTACCGGAAAAGGCGCGTTAAGACCGGAGCCAACTCAGGAGCACAAGTACGCAGCACAATTGGGGGGGATACCATCCGGCCCGCTCGACTTATGAATGTCCAAGGAAGATAGTGCTTTGCGGACAGCACGTTGCCGGAATGTGATTTCCGGCATCGAAGAATCACACCGCGAAATGGTCGGTGGTGATCTCCCTCGGTCATCCAAAGTCGAGTTAGACGCGAAGAGACAGCCCAAAAAGGTCAGCCTTCTCCTTCGCAGTGTGGGCCAGAGAGTCATCCTCCCTGTGCAGTGGCGGAAAGGCGGGCTGACAAAAATTCCCTTGGACAGCTTTGGCGAGAGACCAGAAGGCTCGAGTCCCTGATGGGAGTTGGGCCAATCTCTCGCCAAATCTGGCAATGTGCTCTGACTTTGCCTTAGTGATTTCCCGTTTGAAGGACCTGGAGGCTGAGTTATATGCTTTTTTAAGTTCGCTGGTATTGGCATCACGAGATTTCGCCGCTTCCGCCAATGCCTTAAAGCATTCTCGCTTTCGACGCGAGGCCGCCTTGCAAGAACGTTTAAACCAGGGCTGAGACTTGCCACCGATCGGCACCGCAGAAAATGGAATAAAGAGTTCCATGCCCTGCAGAACCACTTCGGCGACAGAGGCGGCGACGGAATCTGGAGCTTCCGGCGAAAAGCACATAGGCCCCCAAGGGTAGGACGCAAAGAAAGACCGCATCCCGTCCCAATCTGCTGACTTATAGTGCCAAATACGGCGACAACCCATAAAGCGGGGCCGTGAAGGGCGCGTAGATGGCACAGTACTCCGGACCACACAATGATCTGATGAACCCAATGGCGGGTCAACAGAGACTTGATAGTTCTCCGGATGAGAAGTCAGCAGAAGGTCCAACAAAGAGGGTTTATGACCATCCACATCTGGTATTCGCGTAATCGCAGGGACCATTTGTGTCAGGTCGTAGGCTAAAGCAAAGTCGTGAAAGGATCTTCCCGCGTGATCGGTGGTTTCAGAGCCGAGCCAATCGGCATGGTGGGCGTTAAAATCGCCAAGTATCACGATTTCAGCGGTAGGAACCCTTTCGAGCAGGGAATCTGTAGCCATTTGGATGTGCTCAATGAGTCGGTCAGTTTCGGTATTTCCGCTATGGGACCTATACAGGCATGCGTAGAATCGCGGATGGTCATCGCAGTCTACGCGCAGCCAGAGGTTAGATAGGTCCCTTCCTTCAAGCGTCCCGAGGCGACGAGAACAGATATCCTCTCTGACGTACACGCAAACTCCAGCCCGCGGCACAAATGAATGTTCCAATTTGTACCCCGGGTAGGATAGGTGGGAAGTATCAGCCGGGGAGGATATCTGAGTCTCGGTAAGAAAGAGCAAGGCCGGCTTCGCAGTCTCTAGATGATAGTGGACAGCGTTGATGTTAGAATTAAGCCCCCTAACATTTGTGAAGTCCACGGCGAGTGTGGACGGGGGTGCCTTTGTATAATTGCTCCGTTTGCCCCGAGGACGATTACTATTTTTGTAGAGCGCAGAATTGCCCCCCCAGAATACGAAGGGCAGCCTGTGCGTCCACCACCGGGTGCTGAGTGTCCCGGTGGTGGACGCCCAGAGGGGGATTCTCCACCGCGAGCGCGTGTGGTACCCCCTAGGGTAGATTCTGTTTTTTCTGCACCTTCATATTTCTTGTGGGGGGGGGGATGGGCTCCGGGAATCTCTCTCACCGCACGAAACGCGAGTACAAGAAGGCGAACCTTTTGCATCACTTCACGCCGGTTTTCTGAGAGACAGTGGTACTGCCCCGGTCGTGCCTGCCCATTTGGCTGAAGCCCGAAGGCAACAGCATGGCACTCCCACTAGAATATCTCAAGTAAGCTCTTTAAAATCAGCCACTTACACAGAGGATCGTATTACGTATACCCTTCAAAGGAATAATAAGAATATATAGACGATTAAAATTATGTTCTTAACTTTTGAAAAAGATTGGAAATGCTTCTTTAGTGCTTTAATAAATTTCTCACCCTTCAGCAAGCTATGTGAGTCAATTCATGATATTTATACTAGCGTTTCGTGCGGTGTGTAAGTCGTGAGACTCCCAGGCCACCGCTTGCAACTCGCGCGCCAAATAAAGCGCAAATTCGGCCCCACATAGAGTACTGTTCTGACCTGCAGGCGTGAGCTCCCCAGCACCAGCTCCTTCCACTTGACCGCATTCAATGAAGAGCGATTCGAATCATCGTAATTTAAAATAAAAGCTATTTGTACAAAATCTGGCAGACAACTAGACAGACACAACTTTTTAAAAGAAGGTTGTTATTATTTTTCTATGGCAATATTTTGCGTAATTTGATCATGACATTGACAATTTTAAAATCAAAATTCAAAACGCCAGGAACTGGGAACATCAAATGTCAAAACTTGTTAGATGTTTATTTAGTATTTACACAAAAACGACATTACATTATAGCCTCTAATTTAAAATAAAAATAATTAGGATAAAAGTTTGACAGTTTTCTACAAAGCCACTAAGCAGTAAGCATTGTTTTATTTATAAAAAAATATTTAATTTAATAACGAGCAAGGAAATTTTCTTGTATGCTTTTTCACGTTTATGAATACTTCATTACTTCTTAACTAGTCAATATGGTCCGCAGACTTCGTGAACAAAGTACTACAGAAGATGAAATAGTAATTGGTAAATATCATTTTATGAAATATTTAATTGATAATTGATATAGAACTCTTAAGAATTATAGAACACTTTACAGATACATCACCACAAAAAAAGCATAAGCGACATAAGCATAAGAAGAAAAAAAGAAAGCCTGATTATGAGTATGATAGTGATACCTCTATTGATGTGTCCCATGAAGATGTACTGGATAAGCCATATAAAATAAAAAGTAGAAAAGAAGCCCCTGGCACAGCTGCTGAATTACTAAAGGCTCAAACTATGAAATCATCTGATTATCGTAAGTCTATGCCAGGATCTTCATCAACCACTCCCCCAAAAGTGCCCTCCAAGAAAAAGAAAGGTAAAGGTCGTGATAGTGGTACATCTAGCGAAGAAGAGAGATGGTTGGATGCCATTAAGTCAGGCAAACTGGAAGAAGTAAGTAAAGTGCTTATTAAACTGAAACTTCATAAATCTCTTTTAAATGAAATCTTCCCACAAATGGCTAACGGAGATTAGCATGATTCAAATACTTGTTATTTTATAGGTTGATGAAGAATTAAAGAAAATAAAACCAAAAGACCCCAAAATGATGACTGCTAGACAAAGGGCAATGTATGAAAGAGGTACTGACAAAGAAACTAGCCCCGGTGGAGAAGTGTTACTTGCTTTACCTTCTGGATACAAAGAAAAAGTGATGACTGCAGAGGCACTTCAAAAAGCTGCTTTAAAGTCACAAAAACGAAAACAATTAGCAGATGAAAAACGAGAAAAGGATAAAAAGAAAACTATGGATCGACTTTTAAAAAAGCAAGAATCAAAAAACCTTAAAAATGCTCACAGGGGCAAACCAACAAGGAAACAAGAACCAATGATTGTTTATAAAAATAATAATAACACAATAACTTTAACTTTTCCACCAGGAATGGCAATTCCTCTAACATGTAAGGCTACAATTGACCAACCAAAGGCTTTAAAATGTGGGATTGAAGGCTGTAATAATGATAAGAAATATAACTGCTCCAAAACTGATGTACCACTTTGTAGTTTAGAATGTTACAAAATTAATATTGCACTTCAACATTAATAAAGAATTGCCTGTTGAGTTTATTATATGCTTGGAGAATGATGTTCTTCGTTTGACTTTTAGGTAATATGTGTTCATCATTCATATTAGGCTGGCAATAAAACTATTATGTATACATATTGTTTTCGTAATACTAAAGTGATATAAAAGCCTATTTAAGATTTACAAATTGTATCGGACATATATTTGAGAAATTAAACAAATACCATACATTGAGTATAATTTATTTGGATTATGTAAGACTTCATAAGGATAAAAGAATAATATATACACACCAAATATAAAGATTCTAAAGTATTCTCATCTTGATGTACTTTTCTTCAATCCCAATCTATATCATGTGTGGCAGTATTTATTTTTGTAGCAAACTTCAGAAACTTTGCATTTTTAGATGCAGGAAACAAATTATTTATAAAGTTATAGAATAATCTTGAAGACAGTATATTGTTAGTATTTGGTAAATTACATAAATAAAAAGCTTCTATGGACTATTTGATTTATTCACTTAATTTAGGTGAATAGAAACTGCATTTTCTTGCAGCAATAAAAACATTTTGGCCCTGTGGTTTTCACTATAGCAAAATTGTCATGTATTCTGTACTTGAAACTGAGCAACCATTAAATATTCTTATTTACTATACAACATCGATTTGGCAATTTATTTGAGCTATACATAGGGTAGGTATACATTTGTTATAACATTATATTTTTATTAACTAATTCATTTTACATCCGATAGCCATAATACATTATGTTATTACATTAAGAGACTTTAAATAACCCATGTGCAAACAAATTTAAAGTTTATAGTATAAGTAGGAATATCTTATTTTAAATTTGGGAATTAACAGTTCCTTTTCCTTTCCTATGACTTGTTATTTGTATTGAAGATAACACTAGCATCAGATTATATTATACACTTAATATATTATACACAACAGATTATAGAAATACAATGACAGTCCATTTTCACCTTGCTCCTTTATCATAAATGCTGATTTTAAATCTTCAATATTCACGGACCTACATGATAGACTTGGAGAAGTCTACTTTGGTCAAAGTTTAGATACCAAAACATGGCAGCCAGAAAGGAGGTAGAAAGCAACCAGTTAGGTATCAGACATTGGTCCTTTTAGAGCTCCTAAGGCGAGCTAAACCGTTCTGTAACTGCTAAGACTGATTATTTTGTTTATTTGACCTGAGTCGAGCAAGTCCAGAACGCTCTTCCTCTTCATCACTAGTACAGGAGAGCCCTCCAACTGCACCTCGAGAAGATGTTGCCTGTATTAAGTCTTGATCTGGTCCATTTCTACTTTCATAAAGCAAAATCCCCAAAGTCTCTTCATAAATTCTAGCCTCAGGAAATTCAACTTTAGTGTGCTTTCTGTCTGTTGCATACACAATAGAAGTACAGCAAACTTCAGCACACTTTTTGCCATGTCCAAAGAAGGACCAACAACAAATTTCATTAGAACCAATTACATCTTTTATGAAGAGTACTCTTCCGCTGAAGCGCAGCGACAGCTTGTCAAACAACTCTATATTCTTCAGTAAATTGTCATCAGAAGTGCTTGTGTAGGAATATTTATTATTATGTCGGTTAATAAGCAGTTTAACAACAGGCTGAAAAAATTAAGAACATTATTATTAAAGATGTCAAAAAAGTAATAGCACATAAGTATTAAGAAGATAATTACTTAAATATTACCTTAGAAGTTGACATAATGAGTAATTGTTCTTCTTTTTGGGATGTAATTAGAGGAACTCTACAAATAGGCTCAGCTTCCCTTTCTTTCTTGGCTAATGCCTGTTGGCATGACTCTGTCAATTCCTCAATAAGAAAATATTTGGCTTCAGCAAGCAATTCTATAATCTCACGATACGAATCTGGTAATGCAACAGTACCATCTCGCAAATAATTCAAAATGGTACCAAAATGTCGTCCACAGCGATCAATTAGAATCCAACCTTTAAAAACATTCATTTCAAATAAACTCATTACATTTTTTATAATATTATGCAGAATATACAAGAAACATTAATTTTGTTCATGAAAATGTGAAGTTACCTTCAGAATCTGTCAAGACTTCCATTCTACCACTGAACATCGTCCTTAACATATTATCACTCTTTGTTAATGTCCCAATAGTTGTGTAAAATAATGTACCACCCACGTTTAATTTAACATATTGGGATGGGCTGCCTTTTATCAGCGTTTTGTGATCGCCCGACATTTTCAATTGGTTTTTGTAGTTGCGTCCACAGTATATTGTTGAAGTTAAGCAATCCTACAATCACCAGCAGTATAAGTTATTGAGGAAAGTTTTTCCCGTTATAAGAATTATATCAGCCTATAGCCATTATTGTTTTTACTGTAATACTAAGACAAATCAATAATTATTACAACCCTCAAGCCTCAGAAAATAAGCATTAACCACAGAGTCAGACCAAAGCGAAAGCATTAGCAACAATTGTCATTGTCAAAATATCAATCATCTTTTCATGTCTAAGCAATAGCAGATAGACCACAGATTGCGAATAGAAGTTTTATTTTACATGGCATACAGGAGATGTGATGAAAGGAGGATAATATTATAATAATAAAAGAAAAAAAAACATCGTCAATTATATAACAAATAACTTTCACAATATAATAATTATTTAACTAAAATCTTCAGTACGTTGTATTTCACAAGAAACTTTTGAAAAATGAGTTCTTTTACTTCCAAACACTTTAGCATCTTCTATTGTCTCCGGCAGCTTGGCGTTTAATGTTTCCGGTAAAAACATTGAAATAAAAACGCTTAGCAAACAAGAAGTCCCAAGAATTAAGCCAGGTAAACGTGGATCGACCCGGCGTCCCTGAAAATTTACATGGATTTAAATGTGTAGTATATAATATTTTCATGTATGGGAGCACAGTGTTTGCATGCTAAAACTACCTTAGTTCCGTTACATTTCATGTAGTAGGCATTTTGACGAATTTAAAGGAAATGAAAGATTCGAATTTAATTTTTAATTATAAGTGTCAACCCGTGACCATATACGCTGACTGATGTGTTATACTCACCTAAATAAAAAATATTAATTTCATCACAATTATACAAAATTTATAATGATCTACAATCTAAAGAATCATGTTGGATAACTTACGGCACTACACCTTTCAGAAAATTCAAACAAACGTCTACTTACTAAATACAAAATATAAGGCGCTAGAGCTGAAGCCATGCCCGATACAACATTTCCCAAGGCGAGTCCTGATTGTCTGAGGCAGGTAGGATATATTTCCAAATTCAGTAAGTTGATTGCGAAAAAGGAAACGGCTATAGTTAGCCTTCCAATTGTAATTAGTGCAGTACTAATCCACCACGCGCGAAGCCATTCAACGCTTGCTAGAAAAACAAATATGGAGATATTTACTAGTATTATAGTTTTTTAAATCATACGATACGATATTTTCGTTACACAAATATAAATATTATGTTTGCAGGAAAAAACAGAGCGGCTGGCTAGTTTTATAAATACGTTGAATATTGTTGAGTTTAATTTGTATAGTTGGATGTTATGACAAAGGACTTGGTCGCGCAACAAACAATAAAAAACAAAAGAAAAAAAATACATGTCGAATTGTCTGTCTACGGGTTCTTTGAAGCCGGTTAAAAAATATACAGTAAATATACTATATATCAATAAAACATGGACCAAGCGAGACTCATTTTCGATTCATAAAAAATACTAACTCATTTCTCTCAGAGCAACAATTATCCATATAGTTCCGATGACAAAGAACGAAGCAGAAGCAGAACGTCGTCTCCCAATATTGTTACACAACCAAGCTCCTATAAAATTGGAGGGGATCTCGGCCAGAGCTTGAATGGAGAATTGTATGAACGGATTGGAATCTGATTTTTCACCCGTGCTCAAAATTAGTACTGAATAACATATTGATACAAAAACCCTGAAAATAAAATAATCACACTGTTAAAGATTTTTTTATCGAAACGAGCCCTAGTACGCCCGAAAAACGCAGTCATCGTCACCCATGGATACCCATTTTAGGGGGTGCAATGCCGGCCTTTGAGGGAGAAGTATATAAAAAAGGAAGTATATTTTTTATGTTTAAAGAAAAAACTTTTTAACCGGATTAAATTTATGTATTATAATGAATTTACAACTATTTAACATAATTTTAAATTTATCCGACGTCTTCAGTCACCGTGACCAAGCACGCTGTAAAGCACGCGAAACAATACATAACTTTAATCCGGTTAAAAAGTTTTTTCTTTAAATGTGTAAAGGTTATGTCAATCCAAGACAATACTATGTTTTATGTTACAATACTGGAAATAATGCAAAAAATAAATATTTTAAGAACACATGGTTCTTTTGATATGCGTAATTTTAACCCTTATCGTGGCAAGATTCTTTTTTAGAAGAAAAGCAAAAAAAAATTATATAGGTAGCTTCTTTGGGGCATAAAAATCATCGAAAAAATAAATAAAAAAAACGTGACATGAAAATTTTGGAAAAACAAGATGTATACTATTCTATACATTGCTACACGTACAGTGATTATCGCATTTTCAGGAATGTATATTATGCTATACATTGGTATGTTTAGGGAGAGTTGAAATGTTACTAGTAGTTTTTAATATATACCAAAAGATTATTGTAAATAACATGATTTTAAATAAAAATAACTGTCTTGGTGGACATAAAATGTTTAATAAAATTAATCTTTCTTGAACAACAAAATAATCGTAATTTAATAATTCAGAGACTCTATTGCTTGCAGTGGTACTCCAAAAAACCTTTTTTGATTCTTCACGTAACAAAGATGAACCTTACCATTTTGTTCACAAAGTACTTGCCTGGCCAACTTTGCAGTACTTGCACCTCTCATATCCGGTTATTTGCGGCCAATGATCATATTTGTCACACCGGACATCATCGCATGGTTTTTCACTGAAACGTTTCGACCTCGTTTCGGTAGGCCACTGTATATTTCATATCTAAAATCTTCTAGACGATCCTGCTTTCTAGTGGTGTTTATCATTTTGTTATGTCTGTGACGTAAAGCCAAGCGTTGTTGATGCCTACGAGTATATCCAAAAGCTGCGAGAAAATTTTCATATACCACCTGTGCCATCTTATTCCAGTGCGATATAATGCAATCAGCATGTCTGCCAAATCGACACCTCTAAAGTGACGATTATAGTCTTTAACAATTTTAGGACATTTTACATCAACACGAGATTTTGCTTCTTTGCCGAATCGTTTTATATTTTCGACAGGGTATGCATCATCATAAGAACTCACCAATGTGACCTGTTTATTATCAACCCACTTGACAATACTAAGTATATAATAATTCTTTCTTTTTCAAAGCCTTTTCAGTTAGCAGGTTAGTAGCAGCATCTTTGAGTCTATTTTGTATTTTGTCTGATTGTTCCTAAACTAAATATACCATAATTTTCCCTCAACATAATTTATAGCAGTCTTAACCCAAAGTAAAAGAAACATGCAAAAAACCCATCGTTATAGTAAAGCCAAACCATATTGTATTATAGATATATATTTATATATCAGTTATGTAGTATTTCAGTAATAATAATATGTGTATTTTTTGTGGGAATCGAACCCCAACTTTGTGTGTAGCTTTCTACAACCACTATATCAACGAGGCAGTCAAACATAAGTTCAACTGTCTTTTAAATTGTAATAAAATTGGTTTAATATATAAGACAGACATACTTGCAATTTAATTTTTATAGTAAAGTCCATTAAAATATTCATTCCGTGCAGTTAGCAATGTATATTATTCTATACACCATCAACGAAAGGTAAATTGCTGCAACTGCGGCATTGTATAGTATAATATACGTTAGTAAAAAACACGACAAAAACATACTAATTCTCATAGCGACAACAGCATATATATAAAAATGTGTTAAAACAAACATTTAGGCATGTGTATTTTATAAAAAACATGCATATTTAGGAGTACAAACATAAAAATAAAATAAAACTTACTATAGATAAACCTGTGCGGCGCATTTTGACGTTTATTTTTCACAATTGATTTAAAATTATGACAGATAAACTACTATTTTTATTTTTGAAGTATAAATAGACGTCTAGAAATGTCATGTGTTTAATAAAACTAAGTTAAAAATGATTTTATAGTGATCATATATTTTTATAAAGTTGGATGTATGGTATACTATACAAAATGACGATAAGGGTTAAAAACTCTTCGTAATAAAAAATTGAAACAAATTAGAAATAAGCTGTTAATTTCTGTACAGTACAATGTTTAAATACTTTTAACAAAAGGCCAAAAATCACCTGTTCCATGTTAAATGCCAAGATTTGATAAAGCGTAGATACTTGCCATAATAAAAGAATTAAAATTGTATTAAATGCTAATCTTGCTCCAGTAAATAAGGCCAAAGATCCAAAACTACTAGAGGACTTCTGTTTCCTAACCGATAAAAGCTCCTTTTCGGTGTCAGGCTTTAGTTTTGAATTATTTACTTGGGCTATTTTATTTAAAAGTTTGACGCATTGCTTTGACTTCCCTTCTACATACAGCCATCGTGCTGATTCTGGTATATTCCTAAAAGTAAACGGGGTAAGATTAATTTCACAGTTGAATAATGATATTATCTGGATTTTAATACGAGAGTAATCAGCTCTTGATGCCTTTTTAACTTTAATTATAAATAAAGGGTAAAATCAACCAAGCACTTTATTGAGCAGTATTTACATTACTTATAAATTCGAACGAGCCAAGCCGAGCCAGTTGTGTTATCCGATACAAGAACTCGAGTTGGCACTCGAGCTTCGTGCGACCACTCGGCATTTTATTAATCCAACGTACCAACAAAATGTCTTTCCTTTATAAATGCAGATATCACGGCTACAATTACGAATCGTCGGTATTTTGAGACCGCTTTTGTGGTTTTCATGATTTCTAATTAACGTCAATATTAATAAACGGATCCCTTATGTGCTTGTTATAGACTTTTTGAAGAATGGTTTAGATTTTACGCTCTTGTGTATCTATAGGATTCGATATACAGGAGTACTATGTGGTTAGACTAATTCTCGACTCTAAAAATATATAACAATAGCTTTATTCAGTCCGGTGAATAAGATCCGTCTAAATGCTACCAGATAAACCTTAATCTAATATGAATCTTAGCAACGTTAAATATAATAAAACCTTACCAGGAAAACATAATAAATGGCAACAAAGGAGCAGTGGTGACGATCACGAATGTTTTCCAATCTCGAAGCCACCAATAAAGAAAAGGCATAACTGCCAATCCAACACTAAACGATGTGTATCTTAGCGAGGTAGTAAAAGACCTTCGACCAGATGATGACATTTCCATGGAAATAACGGAAAGAGTCTGAGGCACAGACCACGAGGGTAAAGTAGCTATAATACATCCAACTACGAATATTATAAATGACGAGCCAGCCATCAAAGATACCAGTCGGCCCACAACTATCAATGAAAGTGATAGTACGTAAGTAGCTCGACGTCCGTAACTGCAAAATAAAACAAATAAGTTAGTGGTTTGCAGAGATAATACTAAAAAGCATTATCGGACAGCACACGATAAGAAGAACTTTGGCTTTTATTTTTAGCACAAGAACTACATCATCAAAGATAAGCACCATCTTAAAGGTATCGGATGAAACGAGTAACAACACACAAGTTTTTATATTTTTATTAAACTTCAATTGACGAGTAATAAATAAAATACAGGACTAAATCATGGCGCGTTTAGTTGATTAACTGATCATTCGAATTGAATGTTAATTGTTACTATCGTATGCGTTTCTATTAATTTTTAAAATAGATTTATGAAAATTCTTGACAAATAAAATAACCAGTGCGACCGTAACTTTTTGTCTTCGGTAGTTGCTCTCAAATTTCTGAATTTGTTTACTTTAAAATTTTAGAGGCCCTAAGATAACCAGCGTCCTCATTTATTTTTATATACAATTTACGTTATAATATGCGGCAAACTGGTAGAAGGCTCCTCTGATGTTAAGTTAGACCGCCGCCCATAGACACTTACATTGCCAGAGGGCTTGTAAGTGCGACCTCGTATTCGACCCAAAGTCGAATTGGTTCGGAAATACTTCAGTGGGCCGCTGGTTCCACATAGTGGTGGTGCGCGGCAAAAACTGCATTACAAACGCTCAGTTGTGGAACGACACTATTGCCCTATTGATACACGCATGGTTTTCTAAATAGGAACTTGCAAGATATTTTCACCTTCATAGATAGAAAAATCCATTACAACTCAGCAGGATTTCGAACGCACGATCCCAGGCTTAAGTCGTACAATGCAACAGAATATTTAAGATTACTTTTAAATTAAAAGATACGTACACATCACCGAACCACCCGAAGAATATCGATCCAAACGCTTCGCCAATTTTACTGTATGCGAAAATATTAGCTATATTTATTTCTTGATTACACACCCAGTTCTTTTCAGATGGTATAGTTGTCCCGTACCAAGTCGTATCGTATATATAAGAATCACATTCTACAAAATCGTGAGAGGTAAAAAGGTTTTTCATATTGTTAATAATTTATTTATTTTATTTGTTGGGATGCATTATCCGATTGGAATTAACTTAAGTGTAAATGAGTCGGTCACACCGTTCGCATAAAAAATGCCAGATGGACAAAGAGGGTAACAAAAGGCCAGATGGATAAACAGGGAAAAGAAAGAGAGGTCGCCATGTATCGAATTGTGCAAAAGCACGGTGGTCTGACGAGGTTAGGGAAGTTGGTGTTCTCCACCGATAAGGAGAAAAATGCTTAAGATAGAGAGATATGGAACCAGTTGGAGGAGGCCTATACTCTATAAGAGGTCCTTGAAAAAAAAACATAATTATTTCTGTATAAAATTGTGTCTTTTGTAAAGATGGATTAATGTTTCAAGGAATAGACGAGGCTTAATTATTATTATTAATAATTTATTTGGAGCTTACGTAATAATAATAGTGTTTAGTTTAATATTTAGTAACTGGGTTAGTATAATGACTGTAACATTTCTAATTAGACTAATCCTTCGATTTTCGTATCAGATTTATCCAGGCCGGTATAAAATTGTTGATAAGGAATGCGCAATGTTTTGTTTTATTAATTCTAAGGTAATAACTAAATTACAAACAAAATAATAAATATAACTACATAACATGATAAAAATTCATTATCATAAGTAAGTAGTAACGTACCTGTTGTTTTATTACTTAAATCTGGGTCAGTGTAAATTATACAACTCTCAAATGTAATTTCACCCTTTAAATTCGTCTGGCTGTAATAAAATTGGACAACATATTAATTTTGAATTCAGTATTATGTGAGGACTGTATATTTGATCACAATACTTAATAAAAATACTTTTATTCAGTTAAATTAAATACTTACTGTGGTATATGTTTCAATTTCCAATCATAATCGCTGTAGTTTTGTGGTTTCTCGGGATATTTACATGTATATGGAGTTATCGCTAAAGACATAATAATATTCATATAAACCATACTCCAAAAAAATATTAAAAAAACATTGTACTTTATGTCGAAACTCTTTTGAAATTTCCCCTCATCTCCGATTTCGTACAGCGCTTGATCGTATGCACTATCCATTTTTACCTTTTACACTTAACGCAACGATAAAATCAGAATACACAATGTTTCGTATTTAACAACGAGTATTTAATCTTTTAGACGTCTTCTTTAAGATAACAGTATTTACTAACCCGATAACATTAATTTATTTTTAATAGTAATATGAGAATGTAATTAATTAAGATGAGGGTATTACGATAGTATTATATCATTATAAAGATGTTGGTATCTAATGCGGGATGTTAATTGTACATTACGTTACCTATATTGAATAAAGATGTGATTTTAGATTTTTGCTATAAATATTATGTAATTTTATAGGCTTCGAGAACGCGCTCTAGATAAATAAGTTATATATGGTCCAATCACATTGTTACAAAATTGAATAGGTAGGTACATAGGTAGTATACATCATACGTGGGTGACACTGAAAATTTTTAGAATTGGCCAGTAACAAACATTGCTTGTGAAAACTTTTTTGAATTTAAATTTTAGAACTCTTTGGTAACCTAATTTAGTATACTGCATTAATTTGTCATTTGTTTTTGTGAATTGGCGGCAAATCTAAAACACTTGTTAAACGTGAAAATTAACCTAACGCGAGAAAATGTTTGGTCAAAGATTTCTTATGACTTTCGTTGAGGGCTTACTCAACAACAAAGCTATGATAGGCTGCGATTAGCATTTCTTAGGCTGAATTTAGTGTCACGCCGACCGCATGCGCACCGTGGCGGTCGGCGCTGATGGTCGAGATATATGAACTTCTAGAAAGCGTTTTTGAATGACGCGTAGCTATAAACGCGCACGGTGGTCAGCGCCGATGGCTGCGCGGCCGTACGCGTCGCGCGTCGGCGCCGCGTAGCTGTCAGCGCTGACGATCGCTAGAGCGCCTCTGCTTTCAGTGAGCGTTGTAGTGTCGAGCGGAGCGGACGTCGTCAGTGTGTACAGTCATGGCAAATCGCGAAGTGGATACAGGTCGAGTTATCGACGAGGTACGCTTGAGGAAGAAATTGTGGGATGCATCCGATCCACTCTACAAAAATTAAGATGCAAGAAACAAAGCCTGGGAGGACATTGTCGACACATTGTTTGAAAACATTTTAGGAGAGTCTCCTGCAACGGCTCTCTGCTCAATCAATGGATGAACATGGAGTCTTCGTAGTCGCCGGTTTTTATTTTTTTGAGATAGGTAGTACAAAGCAGCAATAACTAATACACTCCGCATTTTGGTCTACGTCTGTACAGTAAGGCGGTCAGTACGATACTAAAACGAACCACGCTGAGCGTCAGCGCTGACGAACTACGCGCTGATCCATGAGCGCTGACGGTGAGCGTGAGACTAAATTCAGCCTTAATGAAGCTCCATCTCGTGCCACTATTTACAATTGGTTTAACGAGTTTAAGCGTGGACGTAGCAATCTCATTGATGATCCGCGTGAGGGACGTCCTTTAACAGCAACAACTGAAGATAACATCAGTGCTGTGCGACGCATGATAGAGGAAGATAAGAAAGTGACCTATCAGCAGATATGGGCAAGCCTAGGCACTGGTATGAGTCAAGTTCAAAGAACATTACATGAACATTAGGGCGTCAGGAAGCTTTGTACCAGATGGATTCCCCATACTTTAACCGACGACAAGAAACACCTTCGCATGGACTGGTGTCGCCAAATGTTAGATAAGTTCAACGGCGGTGACTCAAATGCTGTATTTGACATGGTCACAGGTGATGAAAGCTGAATATATTGCTATGAACCCAAAAGAAAAGACAAAATTCGTGGTATTCGCTTTACAAGCCCTGCAGATGCGGTGAAAGCGTACGAAAATGCCATAGAAGAGACCCCTAAGGAAGAATGGGCCCATTGCTTTTCTCAGTGGTTCCATCGAATGCGACGATGTGTAGAGAGGAACGGAGATTACTTCGAAAAACAATAAAAGTATTGGCAACATTCTACATTAAGCCGTTTTTCATATTTTAAAAATTTTCAGTCCTACCTAGGTATTAGATAACTTCCGTGATATCCCGACGTTATTCTATTCGGCATTCCGCTATCAAGAAAGTAGTCTTACTCAACTGAAACGTTTGTAAGTAAACGGAATAAAACAAATGCGTCATTGACCGAGCCATGGCGATTTATCTAAAACAATAATTTTGTTTATCTACTTGATTGTATTACTGTTTAATATATCACAACAATTACCTATCACGAAGAGAGAGATATATTCCCTTCTAATACAACATCAGATTTATTAAACCTTGAAATTTACAGCGGATATTATGATGATTAAAACCTTGATATTTGTCGTAATACTTATACTATATTCACAGAAATATTGTATTATTTTAGTAATGAGGCTTGCAAACAACTCCAGTACTTGAAATAATACTCAAGCTGTTAATCAAATGGCTGTTTAGGTGGCTTATAGATTATGAACGATAGCACAGACTTAGTGCTAAGATACTAATGATAGACTAAAGAATCTAAAGATCAAGCTCTATAATCATTGGTTAATCTTTCTGATTCCATAGTTTTTGGTTTACGCTTGCCGCCTACGGGAGTTATTGGTGTGAATTCGCGCGTTTATAATTTTAATTAACAAATTTATGTCGACAAATCTATAGTATGGGTGCATATTTATCAGAACCCGTTACGGAAAAAATATCTAATGATGAATCAAACAATAAATATGAATGCGGCGCGAGTTCCATGCAGGGGTGGCGTGTCAACCAAGAAGTAAGATCATACAATTATTCACATTAGTCGAATGATTTTCGTCTTTTAACATCTCAAATAAATATACACATACTCATCTATTCATTTAACATATGAGTTATCATTGGAGTAATAATAATCTTTAACGCCTACTAATTTATTAGAATCCTCTCCATGCTACACATTTACCGATACTAACCATTCTTGTACAATTATAACGGTTTAACAAAGTTTGTATTAGGTTTCTGTTTGTATTTATTTAGAATTGATATTGTAGGATGCCCATAACACAATCTTGGATTTTGATACGAATACATCACTATTTGCGGTTTTCGACGGGCACGGTGGAGCTGAAGTAGCTACATATTGTTCTCAGAACTTACCGAATTTCATAAAAAATACAGAGGCTTATAAAAATGGAGATCTGGTTAAAGCATTGACTGATGCCTTTCTTGGTTTTGATGCTTCAATTGCAACAAAAGAGGTTATGGACATTTTGAAAGAGCTTGCAGGTAAATAATTAAAATGATTGTCATGTCAATTTATTCATATATTAACTAACTGAAATGAAAATGTTACTTAAATTAATTTACAGGTGAAATAAACCCTGCTGGACCCAGTGACAATGAGGAATCTGAAGATGAGTGTATAAGTAATTTATATAAGGAGGCTCGTCTTCCCCTTCAGGTAAATATGTGTAATAATATATAAATGGACATTGTTTTGGTTGTGTTTACATTTAAAATATAATTAATTTACTTACAATGAAACAATATAAAGAACTCGATTTCAGGAAGTGCTGGCTAAGTATGAAAACAAATTAAGTACACTACACAGAGCCAGGCTCGGTGATAAGGCTACTCCACTATCTCCTTGTCTTCGTGCTAAAAGGAATATTGATGAACCAGGTGGCTCAGGTAAAAATAAATCATTAAACTGTCATACACTTCTAATTATTATGAGTGGGTATTAATAATTTTGAGTAATTAGCAATATTTTTAATTTAACAATTATGTAATCAGTAATTTGAATTGAAAATAAGTTGTTACAATTTACAAAGCTATGAAGAAAAACTTGTTTTATTATAGAATAAACAAATTATAGGTTTGGGAGCATCAAGTTCTAGTGCAGAGTGTAGCACTGCTGGGTCAAGTAGTGAACAGCCCATTGAGGCCTCTTCTAGCAGTAATGGTGCAAATTCAAAAGAAACACAAAATGGGGATGATACTGGAGGAGTCTCTTCAACAAATTCCAGTGATGATAAAGAACGAAATGGAGAGGTAATCTACAATTGCATTTTATGAAAATTTGTAAGAAATATAGTGGATATTTTCAGAATGCATTTTGTAAATTCAAGCTTCCTGGAATGAAGGTAGTATGTGGTGGTCCTGAGGGTATTGCTGATCTGGCTCTCGAAGTAGAAGAGATGTAGGAATAGCATTTTGACCTTTGGTATTAAAATTATGAGTACATAATTTACCCTACTATTATTCTTTCAAAACATGTGTATTATGTTGAATTTGAACAATTGCTTTAGTCTCGAAAACATTTATTCCCGGGAAGCTGAAATAATGAAATAATGGTGCACAAGCTTTTTGCATTGCATTTGTTTTTTGGTCATTTTCCTTTTATAGATTGATTTTGGGATCTTAGCATGCTGGTTGCCTCACAATGTTTATCTTCACTACAAGCAAGTGTTCATAAAAATAGAAATTTATTGATGGTGGTGGACAAAGGTGTCATTTGAAAATATTTCCTCAGGGTTCAGAGTCCCATGCTTAAGCAACATGAGCTAAGCACTAGGCTGAGACTGCTTTACTACCATAATGTGATACATATGAATAATAAATATGTGTTTGTACTCTAATAATATATAATATAATAAATATGTGTAGAACCTTTTTGACTCAGATGGGTCAAATGCGAGTAATGTGACCGTTCTATTTTAATATTGTTAGGATTCATATTATGCAGTTTCTCACTTAGATTAAAAATTAATTATTTATTAATACTGCCCCATTAACTTCTTTGTAATAAAAACAGGTTTCAACTAGTGAACCCCAAGAAACTCCAGAGAAAGTTCCAATGGAGGTAGATACAACTCCGGACAGTTCGGCCGATAATGCTTCCAGACAGCCGGAACAAAGTGAAAGCACTGATAAGCCTAATAGTGGCCCAGAAGAGGTCTGTAATGGGGAGGTCTCAGATTCTAAGCAGGGTGAGGAAAACATTACGTCTTCTAATGGGGTATCAACCCCAGAAGCGAGTAAAGGTAAATTTATATACTATATTAATTTTAACATACGTCCTGTTATCACCTTAAGATTTATAACTTAATTTTTATATAAAATATTTTCTCTAATTAATCCAATTGAAAGAGTTATGTTCTTTGGATTGCCTGCATTATTATTTGAAAATTTTACTTTTAGACAAGTCTCCGGTTTCAAGCTCTGACAAACCAATGCCCGATCGTCCCAAGAAATCGAAACTCCGAAGAGCGGCAGCAGCCGTGTATGAGTCTCTGCTCCGTCAAGCCACTGCCGATGATGATGAGAGTGACTCCAACGATGAGACCTTTGAAGGAGGTGAGGTAGACTCTTCGGAAGAAGACAATCTTAATGGCGTAGAGGAGTCTTCTAATGATGGTAAATATACTGTTATATATATATATTGTCCTATGTTATCTACACATACATAACACACACAACATATTTGTTTATGATGGATATTTTTTTTATAAAGACAATTCACACCAATTGACCAAGTCCCATGCTAAGCTGGTGAAGCTTGTGTTATGGGTACTAGGCAACGGATATACATACATATTATAGATAGATAGACATATATATTTAAACACCCAAGACGTGACAACACCAAATGCTCATCACATCGATGTTCGTCTCAGCCGGGGATCGAACCCGGGACCCATGGATTCGCAGTCAGGGGTACTAACCACTAGACCAATGAGTCGATATATTAAACAAAAATATTTTTTAATAAATATTTGTAGGTGTATTTGAGTATAATAAAGCCGCTTCAATTAGCTTGTCAAATGTTTTTTTGAGACTTAATTACACACATTATATGAAGATTAAATATCTTAATATATATATTTCTTGTGTGCGTGTGTATGTGACTGAACTCCTCCTAAACGACTGGACCAATTTTGATGAAATTTTTTGTGTGTGTTCGTGGAGATTCGAGAATGGTTTAGATTCACAAATCAGCCCGGCAGATGGCACTGCAGTCGGTACTTTCATACTTTGCTTAATATCCTAATCGCTTTAAATATCATGCAGGACAACGTCTGTGGGGTCCACTAGTATTTTATATATTTCTTGTAATACATATATACACATATTGATTATAATCAACTTATCATCACAGAGGTGAATAAAAAAGTTTGACAGGCACAAATGGTTAATGCGCCTATGGACTGATCAATGATCTTGTCTTTTTAGGATTCCATTTTATATTTTTGAAAAAAATGAATATGTAACTAAGACAATCATTTGCTTATTTTCTGTGTTAAAATCAAAATACTTTTAAATTAACTTTATTTGAAGTTATAACTCGTCCTACATTTGCATTTATATTAGTGAAATATGTGTTACTTCTACTTTGTAAACAATGTGCCTATCTATATGATATGAAGTAATCCAACAGTATCTAAAATTCAAGGTGAAGCTGAGGAAGAAGAAGAGGAGGAAGACGAAGAAGCAGAGTCTAGTGATGAAGAAGGAGAAGACATCTCCATGACCGAGGAGCCCGGGAACGACAGTGGGTGTACGGCGGTCGTTGCTTTGTTGAGAGGTTTGTACTATTTATATGATGGATTTTTGTTTATTTAGGTTACATAGAAACTATAACGGACGAGAGGAATTGCCAACAAACTATCTGCCACTTGAGTTAATTATTTTTTGTAAAGCTACAACTTATAGTCGTATTTTTAATTAGACGAAGCCAACTGACAGTGGCTATAAATGTCACTTTGTAAAATAATGTTGCCATATTTAAAGTAATAGTGCTGCGTTCAGTTCTTGTTCAATCAGATGAATGAACAATGAGTGTGAATAGTTAATCGTTTCAAACTATAAAAGAATATTATTTCTATTTGAAAATTGTATAAATGTGCTCTGATATAAGTTAGGTACTACTATGTAAAACTACAATCAGTTTTTTGACGGCTTATTACAAAGCGCGGCGCGGCGACTAGTGCCATCACCGATCATTAATTCAGGGGTTTTTACTTTGTCACAACACTATTTTTATTTCATTAAAAACTGACAACACCGTAAACGTCAGTTGACTTCGTCTAATTAAAAATACGACTATAGGTAAAGTAGCTATCTATTAGTTTGTATAAATTTTGTTCAGTCATTCTGGATATCAACAACATTCCGAAGGCATTTTTTGTAAATATATTATCTTGTTATCAAAGGCATGTGTTCTTTATTAATTACAATGGTAATAATTACAGTGCTATGTACAAAAACTTCCAATCTAGCAAATGTTTTAAGATAACATTATAATTTTTGATTAAAAAAAATTTGTCAATACATATTACTAAAGAATTTTCTTCCGTTGAATAGTTAAAGCAAAACACTAGTCATAGCCATTTTATTATTGACATTGTTCATTTCATAAGTGTGAATATTAGCGAACTTTATTACATAATTTTTGTTATTAATTATGCGGGTCATTAACATTATTAAGAATGTATATAGTAGTACTATACTTGATAATTTTATATTTATTTCACAGACACTACATAGGTAACTTTTCAATAAAATTACATATTAAAAGACGGTTTTTTTATATTAAACGATTTCCGCTTGAATTTTTTTCTGCCTCGTAATTAGCTGCTACTTATATATATTAATTATTGTGACTCAATTAACCTTTTCCCTGGGTTTTAAATTTATGTTTATTTTAATTTGATTTTTTCTTTACAATTTACTTTATTTTAGTTATAGATACGTGTTATTTTGAGTTTTATTTTGTTAATTATTTATGCCCGTCTTGTACTTTACTCTGTAGTTTTTTTATGGTTCCATATTAGAGTTGCCTGGAAGAAATCGCTTGTTAGGGAAATGGTCGCCCGCTGCCTTATAACTTATGTAACCTGCTTTTTTATTTTTTTATATGAATGTTTTTGTATAAGGTATTCACACCTTATAAATTGTAAATAAATTAAAAAAAATCCTGCCTGGATATTTTGATATTCAATTCTCTGTTATGCTTTGGTATTGAGATAGAGTTGAAAAAAAGGATTTACATTGGGCTATGAAAGTTTGCCATCTTCAAGATTACTCTACAACGTCGGGGGCAAAGGCTAGCTATACATTACCCTATTAACATATTGTGTGAAGAAACTGTTCTTATATGTAACACCGCACCTTTACAAATAAAACTATGCTTATTAAGATGTTTATAATATAATAAATTTCCTCTTTACAGGCAATGAGCTATACGTAGCAAACGCCGGAGACTCCCGTTGCATTATATGCAGAGAAGAAAAAGCGATAGACATGTCGATAGACCACAAACCCGAGGACGCTCCAGAGTTGGAAAGGATCACGAAAGCGGGAGGCAAAGTGTCCAACGACGGCCGCATCAACGGCGGCCTCAACCTGTCCAGGGCCATCGGGGACCATTCGTACAAACAGAATAAAGACCTGGGCGCCACGGAGCAGATGATCACAGCTCTACCGGATGTCAAGACATTGACAATAGAGCCAGAAAAGGACCAGTTTATGGTGTTGGCCTGTGATGGCATATGGAATTATATGTCTAGTCAGGAGGTGTGCGACTTCATCTTGCCGAGGCTTGCTGAAGGCAGGGAGAAACTATCGCAAATATGTGAAGAGGTAATTTACCTTTTTTAGGTGGTTAATTAATTGTTATAATTTATATAATAAATACACCTGAATCTCTTTGATAAAGTTCTGTAATTATATTTTTTTTATTAAACCAACCAACTTTTCATACAAATATTTGGGATCTATGAAAAATGATAAAGACGAGGCAAATCACTAGTATATATATTGTTTTAAAATAGAATAAATACTTGCTAAAATCAAATATCACAGAATAAAAGTAAATTGGTATTGAGATAAGATACTATCTTTCCACAACGTCAGTCGGAAATCAATGAAATATTTGTACTTTTAAAGACACGTATACGTCTTTCTGTATGTATGTTTAATAGGTCCATTATTTTGATAATTTACCATTCTTGGGCCCTCACAATTGACCAAAGAACAAATTTAAAAAAAATGATCATAGACAAGGAGCAGTCTATGATCAAGCCTGCTACTGAACCATAAGAAATTTAGGAATGTAATTATTATACGGACCAAATGCAGCAAAATATTGAGACATACATTTGTTCACAGATGTTCGACCACTGTTTAGCTCCAAGCACAATGGGCGACGGCACGGGCTGTGATAACATGACTGCGATTATTGTACGGTTCAAAGACGGGGTGATCGCCGAAGTCGCTCAAGCCGAATCCAAGAAGAGGGCGGCCGAAGAACTCCCCGAGGAACAACAGGACTCCAAGCGACCAAAGGTCGACGACCCCTTGTCCAGTTCAATAGTAACTTCGAGTGTTTAATTTGTGACTGAAATGTGGAGTGGTTAATTTAGGTTTAAATTAGGCTTTCAAAAATCCCATTTTTATATAAGTCAATAGATGACCGAATACTTGACAGTTAATTCAAAACCATTTTTGTATAAGAGCCAGTCTCGACTATTTCATTTCACGCTTGCTTCATACTCGCAGTTCGCTTGCGGTGTCTACATAAACAATCGTTATCTATTTCATGGTTTGAATTATAATTAATTTTACACCCAATCACTAAGACAATATTTGAGCAGCTCCAACATTTTAATGATTGCGTTTTCCGTTATTTGGGTGGCTTGTATTTTATAAGCTGCCGGGTTCGGTTCCCGGTGAAACAATATTTATTGACCGAAGACTGGTGAAAAACAGGCAAAAATATGTCGGTCCCAGTATTCTATTGATTAAATTTAGACCTTATGTAACTGTTTTAATAGGTCTTATGAATATTTCCTTAGAACCAACGTTTAATTTTAGCAGAAAGAACATAATTTATTATTGAACTGATTTCATAATAGTTTGTAAGTGTAGTTTTAAGCTGACTTTGCCGCGATTCCATCATTTATTTTTTATTCTCATAGTTTTATGAAAATGTCCCAATAACAAAATTAAATGACTCGCTCGATTGAGTGTTTGACATATATTTAACATTATGAAAGAAATGTAACTTTAAAAAGAATTAATCTGCCATCTTTAAGATGTGCAAGCGATTAATAAAATTGGCTCGTTCCTACTTTGTGAATTTGAGTAATTTCTATTTTTATAGTTACGGAATTTGGTTGTTAAATTTAAAACCGGAATCAACTTTTGTGTGCATCAATTACATTTTTACAGACATATTAATTTGTTTTATTTTTCACTTTATCAGAGAATTATATTTCTCATCCATCACACGCCCTCAATTATCTTAATCTGCGAAGTGCTTAATGCTTTTGGTTAGTCTGTTGACTATCTAACCACCTAGGCAAAGTGAGGGATTTATGTATTAGAGTTTTTAGAAAAGCCAAGTTTTAAAAAAAACTTGAAAATCGGATGAGAGATTTTACTATAAAAATATTGTTTTGAGGTACATTTTTCTGTTTTCCACTGGTGCTTGATTACGCTTTGTACCATCCCGGCAGATATACTAGTTTCTTTTTAGAAGGACAAAGACTCAAATGTGTGACGGACATCGTCACAGAAACTTCTACATAAATGAAAATCTTTAATATTTACGCTTAACTTCTATTTCAACATAAAATATAAGGTTAAATAAAACTAGTATTTTCTTTAAGATTATTTAATTGTCCACATATTATCTCAATTGAGTGAGATATTCAATTGTTTCGTTTTGCGTCGCTTCTAGAATTTGTAGTGCATCATATTCGTTGTCGAGTTGCTCCAACTCCGAGGTTTTGTATGTAATTTCTGCCTGGATATTAATAAAATATTAAACATTTCTTATCCTGAGTTGTAAAAAGCTTGAAATTTTTTAAGTGAAACTTCTTTCATAAGGGTAATTTTTTCACGGATGAAACGCAATAATAATAATAATACATATTAGCGTCACGAAGATGTTCAGTGTTTTTGTCGAAGAAAAGGGAGAGAGCAATTGAGACTGATTGAGAGAGAGTGAGAAGGGCGAATTACGTTATAGAAATTCTATTTTTAAAATAAAATTTTGTAAAGAGAATTTATGATTTATATTTTATGCAAAATAATTTATTGAAATCTCAAATGACGAATTGTAAATTAAAATGCCACTTGTTTCTATTATCTATCGAATAAATTAATTAAAAATATAAATTTAATGACAATTAAATTAATTAAATTCCTAACATATTCTCCTTCTCGGAAATCTAAAGTTATAGACTTGTATAAATATGAATAAGACTTAAAAATTAGTTTGCTAAAGAAGTTTCACTTCTGACATGTGTACTTTGTACGCACGCACTTTTTTTAAATCGTTACCCGTGAAAAAATAGTATCGAGTAAGACTAACGCTAAATTCCAGTTAATAACAATGCTTACCACATAACTCTAATAGCGAATTCAGTAATTGACATAATATATTTAAATTACGCGGTAAGAAAACTCAGTACCGGAATCACTAATGAAGTTACGTGGTATGCTTGATGTGTTCCTCTTGCATTATTTAAGGTATAGTTACTTGTAATTTGGCTTGCTCATTTTCCCTTTCTTTGGTAACAGATTTAAGCAAGTTTATAGCTCCAATGGCAGCCATTTTCTGTTTTTCTACGTTTTCTCCTAGTTCACTCATAGTTGCAAGTATTGAAGTTATAAGTTTACTGAAATCTTCTACTTCTGGAATATTTATTACATTTACTTGTACTCAAAGGTCTGTAACCTGGCAATGAAGCACGATTGCTGTACGTGTTAGGGCGTTGTCCTAATTGGCGAAGATCGCACGATGACACGATGCGGTCTCGTCGTGCGATGAGTTCAAACATACAGATTTCATCAGAGTGTCCTATTTGAACCTCGCAAGTAATCGTGCGAGCACATGAAATGCTTTAATAACGATCGTACGATGCGTTTGATCGTGCGATCATGTAATCAAAGCAACAGATCTCTTTTGAGTGTCCTAATCGGTTACTACGCGATGCGTCGACGCGTGAGGGGCGCCAGCCATCGAACGACGGCATCTATTAGGACATCGCGCGATCTATTAGGACACCTGTTAGGTCATCGCACGACCACTTTGATCGTGAGATGAAAAACGCATCGCGCCATCGTACGATCGCTCCCAATTAGGACGCCGCCTTACGCTTATGTCCGGAAATCATTATTATTGTAATAATCATTAGTATTGGTGTGATTGAGCAGATGTCTTTTTTATAAAAGCTTTCCTCAAAAATTGTTTTTTTCTACGGCAAAATTTATGTATAGCAACAATTAATTAGTAATTCTATTTTTACATTATTACATTGCTTAGCGAAAGTATACAAGAATATTATAAATAATTTTACGTACTTGTTTCATATTCTTTGCAATTATTTTTCAAGTCTTCCGTTTCTTTCAGTACGGTATTGTCTACAATTCTGATTTTATTGATATCATCATAATATAAAAATGCTTTTTCGAGTTCATCAGCCATTTGTCAGGGTTTTTTTAACAAAATCCCTCCGTATTTTTATTACCACACCAAAACAGAATATTGATTAATAGTGTTGTTTTTTACTCTCACTAAACGCAGAATGTTGTCGATCGTAAAGATTATTAGTTGCTAGGCAACGTTGTTTTGGAGGTTCAAAATTATCGATCGATAATCGTTTAATTTTTTATTAATTACAGTAACTTGTCATACATGAGATCACATTACTGAAATGACTATTGAACAATATATAACAATAAATTATCTTGAATTTAAGTAAGTCTCAAGCTGGCTAGTTATAAATTATTATTTATCCATGTCAGAAACGCGGTAATTTTTGAAGTGCTGTATTTAGCATTTTTTAGTTTTGTCTTCTGTTTTTACTAATCTACATAATACAATTTTATTTCAAAAGCCAACATGATGTAAATCTTTTGAACGTGATAAACGTAACCAATCAACTTTTTATTTTTCACATTTACCAAATTAAACATGTTTTTATGTCCTGGAATTGATTGACCTTGTTTTCTAAATGGTCTGTATTCTGTAGTCTGTGGCTATCATTAATCATGGCTGCTAGAACGATGTTTCATGTTATTGTTTATAATGGAATAAGAAATAATTATTTCAACTAAATAAATTATTGCTATATACGCGGTTGGATATCTAAATTTTTTTTAGAAATTACCATTAGTTACTTAGTGAATTACTAAGATAATTGATGAACGTTATGTGATCTAGTCTAATAATAAGGTAGGTCTATTTATTTACAATGTTGCAGATTTATTATTGAAGATAATGCATGGACCTTATTTAATTGTTGTACATAATATATTGTACTTTATAGTACAATATATTTGACCTACATGTTATAGCTCTTTTAGTCATAGAATATGGAGGGCCTTACTCAAAATGAGAAGATTATTTGGCACTCTTGGGAATTAAAATCACCCCGAGATGTTGTACGAGAAGCTGCTGCAAAAGGAACACACATAAGCTTAGCTATCAAGTTTTTAATGAAGAAAAATACTTGGAATGAACCAGTTGCTCAAGATTGGTTTATAGCTGAGGTCAGTACTTAAATTAATTATTTAGAAAAACAGTTATGTGTAACAGAATGATTTCTTAATGACTACAAAAGCAGATGTTTATTGTAGACACAATGCTGTTGATACACAGGAATTCACTTGCCCTTGTTGAACAAGTTTTATTAGTGTCTTTTAAATTAAGTTGTGGATTGAAGAGACTACAGATTTGTTGGTGTAAAAGAGTAGTTTTTATATGAAGAAAACAATTGCATTATATGATACAAAGCAAACATAAACTAATTTCAATCAATTTAGTTTTAGGTATTTTGATGTTAAATCAAGTGACATTACATAGAGATAAAACTTTATATATACTACAAATGGTTTGCTGTGGCTATTATATTTTTATTATAAAGGTGAAAAAAAGTAAAAGTGACTTAAGGGCAATTGTTATTTTTTTTAGGTAAAAGCATGGACAGTTCAATTATTAATGAGAAAGCAAATATTCAAAGTTCTTCACATTTTAAATAAAATGAATATTAATCCAGAGGATCACCTTATGGCATTAGCACAAACTGCAACACAAATTGACTATCGGGACTTTTTAGTAGAACATCTTCAAAAGATCACCAAAGATATGAACGCAGAGAATATTCCAAGATGGGAAGATTTTCATAGACATTGGAATTTATTGAGATATCTCGAGAAATCATTTGAAGTTGAAGGCACTTTCAAACAAAATAAAGTATTTGGGAGTGGTGCTGATAGAGTGTTTGTAAATGAAACTGAAATTAAATCTTTAACAATTGAAAAAATTGAGAAGTATCCAAGTGATTGGAAGAACAAAATAGCTACAGTACTCTTCTTTGAAACATTTGGTATGTTGATGTACTCATTTTTAACTTTGCACCCTTCTAGACAAACTTTTTACTCCTCTTGCCCTATTTTTGTCCTTTGAAACCCCTTTTTTTGCTATAAAAGATAAACTGCTTTCAAATAGCTAACTCTTATCTCTTAATACCAAATTTCTTTAAAATTGGTTTTGTGGTCAAACCATTTTGTATTAATAATATTTGTAGGGTACACTTAGTATTTCTTTGTTTCACTGATACAATTGAGTACCATAGCCCGTATCAGAACTGTGTTATTATGAAGTCATTGTGTAAGCACATTGAAATTCTTTTTTGTTTTAGAGTTTTCCCTTCTCGATTTTTCTTCATCAGCTCATGCTTGGAGATATCTAGTTGAGAACAACAAAGCAATGATACTTGTTAGATGGATTAATGTTCAACTGTCTGAGGTTGTTAGAGATATGAATTCGCGGTACATATTTTTCAACAATGAGAATTTCGTTAAGAAACTCTTGAATGTTGATACAAAAGGCTTTGGCATAGAACTGTTGGAGAAACTAGACAAGACCTTTCGTAAATGGTCAATAACAAGTGACATGATCACATTTGTGACTGAAAGCAGTTGCTTTGCATACACCAAAATGTGCATTTACGATACTTTATCGTCATATGGAATCGTTATAGAGGAAGAACGAAAGAACCTCTTCCAAATAATAGCTAGACTAGCCAGAACTCAAAATCTTAAGATGATTGATGACGTTTTCAGCGAGTCATGTGCCACACTGACAAATCAGGACTTTTATTTAGAATTGGCCAAGTTCTTTGTTAAGAACAAGTTGTATAAGGCATTAACGATTTGCATCGACAGTCAGATGTTAGATATGGACTTGTCTAATGTAGAAGAAGAGGCTAGGGATTGCATTGAACTCTGGCTGTTATTTAAAAGCATAGAGCAGACGTCGGACAGGCAGAGCCACGTGGTTCCTGTCTATAAAACTTGCCAGCAGATAGCTAAAAATAATATAGACAGTTACATATTTTTAAACCCACAGTTAACCATCGGAATGATTTTACTAGAAGACTCTGCCAACTTATTCGATATATTTTCAAAAGAGGAATTCTTAGAATTCAAAGACTTTAAACTGCCAAACAAAGGATATAAGCTCAAGTTGCCACACATGCATAATGTTTATAAAAAGTACTGCGATTCGAACAATACTTATGAACGTAGGGATGTCAATGTTTATCAATTGCTATCTGGATACCGGGGCTTGGATATATCTAAAATTTTTGAATTTCAACTAATGAATCTAAATACGAGTTATACCATCCCTGAAAAATCTGATAGGCGAAGTTTGGGCAGTTTGTTATCGAGCGAAGTGGATATTAGCGAGCTGCAATCCTTATCACAAAGATCGATAGATATGCCAGACTTTGCGAACGAGAAACTCATGAAAAAATATGGTTACGAAGCGAAATTGAGTCACGTTTATTATCTAAAGCAATATCGCCCTTGTAATGCGAGCCAGGCGTTTGTGGCCCAACAATACCAGATCTATAATCGGCTACAAGATAAAAGTATTAAGAGCGCATGTTGCGAAGCCCACGCTCTAGCACTCCAGAATTGGGCTGACCCAGCCATGACCGCCTGCGCCATTTCCTTTGTGGCAATGATCGGTTGCAACCCTACTAGGTGTAGAGTCCACATTTCTGCCGCAAACCTGATCAAAGAATACCTTATCAGCAATGGCTTCTCCGAAATTGACGCCAGCAAGCAAGTAGGCGATTATATGACGAAGTTGCTTCAAAGTCACGAAGAGACTGCAAAAACGATTCTCACATATTTGGAGGAAATAGCACTTATGAAAGCGAAGAAATCTAAGGAGACCGGCAGAGTGGACATGTCGATGATTTTATTTGAATCTCAGACCATGGTCAAGTTCGCGATGCTGCACAATTTGCCGTTACCCGAGATGCTCCTGCGCGAGTTTGTTAAAGAGAATTCCTGGTTCAATTTCTTGTTATTCGGCGATGTCTTTAGGTATCCGTTGAATCTGATGCTCCAGCTTTCACAGGAATTTGAAAAGAAGTCGTATGCTGAGCATTTGAAACATATAATGTTGCATAAAAGTGTTGAAGATGAAAAGGACCATAAATATCTTCCCAGCAACGGTCAGAGGAGATTGATGAGAATGAATTCTATTGATATAGTAAGTGTTACGAATTTGATAATCAAGCTTATTTTATTTCTGGAAACATTCATCCATCTTTACAAAATAACACACTCAAAATTTTATACAGAAATAATTATAAATAAATAAATTGTACATATTTTTTTCCAAGGCTCCTCCAAATGGCTCCATCTCTTTCTATCTTGATCATTTTTCCTAATCTTCTACACTAACTTCTTATCTCGTAGGCCCACTACCAAGTCCATCGTACAAGAAGGCGACCTGACCTCTCTTTCTTTTTCCTGGTCGGTCTTTCCACCTTGTGCCAGCCATATGGTCCGCCCATTTCTACTTAAATTTTTGTCTAGTTACGAATACATAGTTTTTAATTATATGCAGGCAAAGTCAACAGCTATATGCCTCCTTATACTGGTATACAGCCGAATTAGGTTTTACCTAGTTAAATTGTATTTGGACATTTTCTTATTATATGTTTGAACCATTTTGTATATACGTATATGATGTATTCCATTTGTGGCTATATGTTTAGAATAGGTAATTATTTTTGTTATATATAATTTATTTTAGCTGTTTATGTTGTTCATTTTCTAATGAATTTTAAAATTAAAATATTACGTAAAATTAGCAACAAAAAAAGCTAATAGTTTTATTTTTTATTCTTAAGGATTACTTTGTGTGTAAATTTGTTGTAATCGTTATGCTTAATGATAATATTTCCAGAGTCCAACTCAAAGTATGGTTTTCGAGTTCCCATCCAACTCAGTCATGGGTCGGGAACTCTGGGAGGTGGCTGCAGCCTGTCACGGGCCCGAGGATCCTCCAGCGGCCTTACTTAAAGCTGCCGACATATATAGGGAACCCTTGCTGGTGCTAATCGCTAGCTGCTATGAGGTAACATAGAAATACATAAATAATATTATTGTACTGTATATACTTTTTGGTTTAAATATTTACATGTTTTTCAAAAAAGAACTGTTTAGTACAAAATCCTTGAGTTAGGTCAGGTTAGCGAGTTTCAAATATAAATTATGTAACAAATGCGTATTTGTTACATAATTTGCATAAGTCGCATACGAAACATCAACTTATGTAAATAATTAAATAACGTCGCATTTATTTCCGTTCAATAGGTTTAATTTAAACGAAATGCAGTTCGGTTTTTTCTCTACATAACCAGTGACGCCACAACCTTTTTAGGTCCGATCCTCAGATTCTGTATCTGTTTCATGATCATTTATCAATCTAATAGACAAGTAGGTGATCAGCCTCCTGTGCCTGACCCTCAACCTAAGTCGAATTCGGAAATACTTCAGTGGGCAGCTGGTTCCACATAGTGGTGATGCGCAAAAACTGCATTTGCAATTAATATTGCAGGTACCGTTTTTCCAACAGAGTTTTTCAGGATTTGAAACCCGAGTAAAGATGAAAACTAAGCTGTTTCTTCATATCACCTTTTATATTCGCAGCCAAACGCAGTGGACGTGCTCTGGGCTCATTGGATACTCGCGTCAATACAGCGTAGCGATAACCAAGACTTACAAAGTGAGGTCGCTGGCAAACCTCCGTCTGAGCTCTTCTTAAGATTGGCCTCGGTTTGCCTTACCGAAGGATATATCACCACGTTATATGAGTCTACCCTCATTTTTATGCCGGTAGGTATTTTTATTTATTTATAAGTCCTAAAACAACGTGTATGCTTAAAATATACAAGAAATATTATATAATATATTAGAACATAAAAATTATTATGTTAGGTCTTAGGAAACTTTTCAATGTAGGTATTTTTAAAATTAAAGTATCTTGGAGAAGACTCATTTCTTTATTTATGTTTAACTTATGTATGACCAAATTAAACTAAAAATAATGACTACGTCATTTTCATAAAATTACCAGAAAAATCTTGCTATCAATTAATCTTTTCTAAGTACATTTTTAAATCATAGTACGCTGTTAAACCCCTTGGAGTTGGGTGGGTCATATGCTTCACAAATAGGTAGCTCTCCTATTAAGCTGCAAGTGTGAGCGGGGAATGAGAACTTCAAATTAAATTTATATGTAACAGATGTGCGAAGTAATATAAAAAACTCTAAATTATATTAATTTGAAAAGTACGTATATCTAGGTTTCAAAAATACATTTATATCTAAGATAAACTAGGATATATATACAATTATATAAGAACATTACTTATTAAACATAACCTCGTCTACTGTCAGGATATTTAAAATGCTTTGAAACCCTTTAAAACGTATGTAACATTATTATTTTAGGACAATCCCTTAGCACTCTTGACTCAGTTTCTATATCGCTGCATAAAGCTTCTTAACTTCGACAAGGAAACTGAGAGCTGCCTCAATAGATTCCTTCAACAGTGCCAAAGAAAGTACAGTTCCGACAACAATGGGTCTCCATGGGACTTGTCGACTAATAACCTACAGAATGTAGCCGTTGAAATTATAAAAACAGCTCTAAAACATAGCTTTGATAGTGCTTATCATCAAAAGGAGTTTTTGAAATGTTTGGCCGTGGCTGACTTTGGAAAGACTTTTGTTGGTAAGTACTTAGATTAGGGGCTTCAGAAATTTAGAAAAACTGAATATAATGTTTTGTTTAGTGTGTGCCCTCAGTAAAAAGCTAGAATTTTTAGATTACATATAAAATAAGATCTTTGTATTTTAGGAAGTTGTCCTAATTTTGCTACAATGTTTGAAATCATGAAAATTTCAATGGAAACCTCGTACATCATCAATATCTCCAAATTACTCGAAGACAACTCACATTTATACTTACTGGAGTGTCTCGATATGTACAAAGACAAATCTAATTACGACGTGGCATTTAAAATTGCGAAACTCGCCGGTCTACCCATAGACGATATATTAGTCACGGAATGGCGTCGTAAAAGCGAAAATTTCCTAAAAGATTTGGAAAGAGAAAATCCGCTATGCGACGAAGATATAGTGAAATTTATCGCTGAATGCAGTGGGGTTTTTAAAAATACCGGTGTAACTTGCAAACAATCCACAATATTCCTGCAAGATCTCATTCAGAATATTTCTCAAGTGGACCAGATATTCTATGCAAACAGAATCATCATGAGCTGGTTTGACGAGAATCACGAATATGGAGAAAAACGAGAGCAAATAGAACATAAAATGTGGGAAGCGTTCTTCCTATCCGAAAACCAAGATCAGATATTCCTGGATAACTATGAGAGTACCGTCCACTTCGCTCTCAACTTACAGAGAAACGCGAACGAATCGCACAAGTTCGGAGTGGCAAATTCGGATCGGCCATTTTCGATGACGCTACACGAGATCGAAGTGGAATCTGATGTTGGAAATATTGAAAATGTGGTGGTTTTGGAGGATGTGGAAATTGAAATTTGGCGGAAAACGATAAACAAATTGCTGGAAATGAAACTGATCGTGGATGCATTTCGTTTGTCGAAGCTATTTACGGTCTCCGATGAGTTTTTGTCTAGATCTGTGTGCCCGGTGCAAATTATGAGGACATGTCTGAAGTTAGCTGAAGGAAGTTGTTCCCCATACGAATTGCCACAAGAATTTCGCTTGATTATATCTTCACCCACTTTGCAAAACAAATTGTCAGGTAAGCTCTAGACTTTGTATAGAAATATGTATTATATATGTCAGGTTTAGTGGGCGTCTTTTGGGTAAAGTCGTTCAATATTTAATTAAATTGATTCCTTCTGACACTACAAATAACACTTTAGCTTAAATTATAATGAGCAGCGTGTTCAAAGCACCGATCTCACTTTTAATCACTATTTATTAGAGCCAACCGGTCCAACCTGTCAACACAATGCTTCATTGAATACTCAATCAGTACTGTCCTGCGTTCCCTGAACGCACTGTCAAAAGTCAAGATGGCGTCTCGACCCCACTCGCATTTGCTCTGCTCTGATTGGTCGAAATTCGTACTTTTATTCATTAAGTAATGATTCCAAAATGTAAATCAATGTAAATAATAACAAAAGAAATCGAATCAAAATAAATTATGATTCTTAAAAGTAATAAAAGGAATCTTATTGATTAACCAATGCAACAATAAAAATCAACACAACAAAAGATTGTCTCAATCATATAATTTCCTGATAATCCGAGCATTCCCTGATTTATAAATTGTATTTTGCAAATCAAGTGTATTGGCAGTGGTGGCTTAGTGACGTACCGTGTTATATGAGGTGAAACCTCTTATCTATAAAATATTTCAAGAGTTGTTTTTTTTTACAATTAGTTTCAGAAACGTCAGAAATGAGTTTTGAAGAGCTGGTGGTAATACAAGAGAGACAGGATGAAGGCAGCCTTCCACACCTCGCAGTCAGAGAGGAGGCGGATAGGCTGTCGGCACTTGACGCTCTAGCTGTTAAGTCTGGCCTTACAGTTGTCAAACAAGTATGTGTAGAAAATAATAACATATTTATTATTAATTCACTTAAAGTTTGATCACACAAGCCAAAATATAATGTAAGGTAATGGGAATGTACTAGAGTTTATTAACATTGGTTTAGCGCATTCAATAAAGTTTGAAAAACAACATTGTATTTTAGATACTACTTGTTTTTAATGTCATACATAGGGGAAAACCGAATTTAATACTTTTTTTCTGAAGGTCATCTTCTACCGCATTTACCATGGGGAGTGTTCAGGGGAGTTGTTCGGATTAATACCAGCATCTGACGTTGAGGAATACGAAATTCCACCTGTATCACCTTCCACAATTCAGAGTTTTTTAAGGCAGTTTTTGCCGCGCCTCGCTATGTGGAACCAACTACCGACGGAAGTATTTTCGAACCAATTCGACTTAGGGTCCTTCGAGAAAAGGGCCTTCCAATTTTTAAAGGCCGTTACGCACTCGCCAGCCCCCTGGCATTGCGAGTCCATGGGCGGTGGTATCACTGACAGAGCCTCCTGCCCATTTGCCCCCCGTTCTATAAAAAAATTAAATTGCAATTGAAAAAAGCATCCCTAAGACTAAGCTTACACTCCCTTATGTCAAAACGTTTTTGACATATGGGAGGCATACTTATACTTTTTTTAGAAGTTTGAAAATGATTGTAACGATTTCAGATTGCGAATTACTTTCGAATAGGTCTGCAAATCGGTTGGGATTACTTGTCAGTTCTGAAATGTCAGAGCAGAGCCTTGGACTTCATCAGCTTAGTGAGTGGAAAGTCTCGGATGACTTTGGCCAATCTCGTGTTCCGCACTTTTAATGTACCCACTAAACAGGTAGGTTTTTCTCTAGTCTAAAATATCTAAACAAATTCTTTTTAATTATTTTAACATTAGTTAAGTTACATATATATTATAAATATTTTTGTTAACAATTAAAAGCGCAAACCAATTGTTACCAATCATTTGGCTTCAACCAAAATGAGCCCTTTAATTATTCCCACACTTATTAATTGTAATATAACATTCTCGTTACCGATATGTCCAAAAGGTCGACTACACTTATATTCTATATAGGTAACAAAAGTGTCACTAAGATAGTCAAGTTAGTTTTTTGTTAGCTTCGCAACCCCACTACCCCTAATTTCATGTTAAAAACTCATGTTTTAAACCAGAGTTCCCCAAACTTTTTTGTGTCGTAGACCCCTTGCCATGTTTTTCCGTGTTGGGTAGACTTACTTACCTGATATTGATTTCCTGTAAATTTCTATCTGTAGTGAAGTTTAGTGTTAAAAACTTAAAGTAAAAACACATGTTAATTTATACATTTATTAATTGTAATATAACATTCTCGTTACCGATATGTCCAAAAGGTCGACTACACTTATATTCTATATAGGTAACAAAAGTGTCACTAAGATAGTCAAGTTAGTTTTTTGTTAGCTTCGCAACCCCACTACCCCTAATTTCATGTTAAAAACTCATGTTTTAAACCAGAGTTCCCCAAACTTTTTTGTGTCGTAGACCCCTTGCCATGTTTTTCCGTGTTGGGTAGACTTACTTACCTGATATTGATTTCCTGTAAATTTCTATCTGTAGTGAAGTTTAGTGTTAAAAACTTAAAGTAAAAACACATGTTAATTTATACATTTATTAATTGTAATATAACATTCTCGTTACCGATATGTCCAAAAGGTCGACTACACTTATATTCTATATAGGTAACAAAAGTGTCACTAAGATAGTCAAGTTAGTTTTTTGTTAGCTTCGCAACCCCACTACCCCTAATTTCATGTTAAAAACTCATGTTTTAAACCAGAGTTCCCCAAACTTTTTTGTGTCGTAGACCCCTTGCCATGTTTTTCCGTGTTGGGTAGACTTACTTACCTGATATTGATTTCCTGTAAATTTCTATCTGTAGTGAAGTTTAGTGTTAAAAACTTAAAGTAAAAACACATGTTAATTTATACATTTATTAATTGTAATATAACATTCTCGTTACCGATATGTCCAAAAGGTCGACTACACTTATATTCTATATAGGTAACAAAAGTGTCACTAAGATAGTCAAGTTAGTTTTTTGTTAGCTTCGCAACCCCACTACCCCTAATTTCATGTTAAAAACTCATGTTTTAAACCAGAGTTCCCCAAACTTTTTTGTGTCGTAGACCCCTTGCCATGTTTTTCCGTGTTGGGTAGACTTACTTACCTGATATTGATTTCCTGTAAATTTCTATCTGTAGTGAAGTTTAGTGTTAAAAACTTAAAGTAAAAACACATGTTAATTTATACATTTATTAATTGTAATATAACATTCTCGTTACCGATATGTCCAAAAGGTCGACTACACTTATATTCTATATAGGTAACAAAAGTGTCACTAAGATAGTCAAGTTAGTTTTTTGTTAGCTTCGCAACCCCACTACCCCTAATTTCATGTTAAAAACTCATGTTTTAAACCAGAGTTCCCCAAACTTTTTTGTGTCGTAGACCCCTTGCCATGTTTTTCCGTGTTGGGTAGACTTACTTACCTGATATTGATTTCCTGTAAATTTCTATCTGTAGTGAAGTTTAGTGTTAAAAACTTAAAGTAAAAACACATGTTAATTTATACATTTATTAATTGTAATATAACATTCTCGTTACCGATATGTCCAAAAGGTCGACTACACTTATATTCTATATAGGTAACAAAAGTGTCACTAAGATAGTCAAGTTAGTTTTTTGTTAGCTTCGCAACCCCACTACCCCTAATTTCATGTTAAAAACTCATGTTTTAAACCAGAGTTCCCCAAACTTTTTTGTGTCGTAGACCCCTTGCCATGTTTTTCCGTGTTGGGTAGACTTACTTACCTGATATTGATTTCCTGTAAATTTCTATCTGTAGTGAAGTTTAGTGTTAAAAACTTAAAGTAAAAACACATGTTAATTTATACATTTATTAATTGTAATATAACATTCTCGTTACCGATATGTCCAAAAGGTCGACTACACTTATATTCTATATAGGTAACAAAAGTGTCACTAAGATAGTCAAGTTAGTTTTTTGTTAGCTTCGCAACCCCACTACCCCTAATTTCATGTTAAAAACTCATGTTTTAAACCAGAGTTCCCCAAACTTTTTTGTGTCGTAGACCCCTTGCCATGTTTTTCCGTGTTGGGTAGACTTACTTACCTGATATTGATTTCCTGTAAATTTCTATCTGTAGTGAAGTTTAGTGTTAAAAACTTAAAGTAAAAACACATGTTAATTTATACATTTATTAATTGTAATATAACATTCTCGTTACCGATATGTCCAAAAGGTCGACTACACTTATATTCTATATAGGTAACAAAAGTGTCACTAAGATAGTCAAGTTAGTTTTTTGTTAGCTTCGCAACCCCACTACCCCTAATTTCATGTTAAAAACTCATGTTTTAAACCAGAGTTCCCCAAACTTTTTTTGTGTCGTAGACCCCTTGCCATGTTTTTCCGTGTTGGGTAGACTTACTTACCTGATATTGATTTCCTGTAAATTTCTATCTGTAGTGAAGTTTAGTGTTAAAAACTTAAAGTAAAAAACACATGTTAATTTATACATTTATTAATTGTAATATAACATTCTCGTTACCGATATGTCCAAAAGGTCGACTACACTTATATTCTATATAGGTAACAAAAGTGTCACTAAGATAGTCAAGTTAGTTTTTTGTTAGCTTCGCAACCCCACTACCCCTAATTTCATGTTAAAAACTCATGTTTTAAACCAGAGTTCCCCAAACTTTTTTGTGTCGTAGACCCCTTGCCATGTTTTTCCGTGTTGGGTAGACTTACTTACCTGATATTGATTTCCTGTAAATTTCTATCTGTAGTGAAGTTTAGTGTTAAAAACTTAAAGTAAAAACACATGTTAATTTATACATTTATTAATTGTAATATAACATTCTCGTTACCGATATGTCCAAAAGGTCGACTACACTTATATTCTATATAGGTAACAAAAGTGTCACTAAGATAGTCAAGTTAGTTTTTTGTTAGCTTCGCAACCCCACTACCCCTAAATTCATGTTAAAAACTCATGTTTTAAACCAGAGTTCCCCAAACTTGTTTGTGTCGTAGACCCCTTGCCATGTTTTTCCGTGTTGGGTAGACTTACTTACCTGATATTGATTTCCTGTAAATTTCTATCTGTAGTGAAGTTTAGTGTTAAAAACTTAAAGTAAAAACACATGTTAATTTATACATTTATTAATTGTAATATAACATTCTCGTTACCGATATGTCCAAAAGGTCGACTACACTTATATTCTATATAGGTAACAAAAGTGTCACTAAGATAGTCAAGTTAGTTTTTTGTTAGCTTCGCAACCCCACTACCCCTAATTTCATGTTAAAAACTCATGTTTTAAACCAGAGTTCCCCAAACTTTTTTGTGTCGTAGACCCCTTGCCATGTTTTTCCGTGTTGGGTAGACTTACTTACCTGATATTGATTTCCTGTAAATTTCTATCTGTAGTGAAGTTTAGTGTTAAAAACTTAAAGTAAAAACACATGTTAATTTATACATTTATTAATTGTAATATAACATTCTCGTTACCGATATGTCCAAAAGGTCGACTACACTTATATTCTATATAGGTAACAAAAGTGTCACTAAGATAGTCAAGTTAGTTTTTTGTTAGCTTCGCAACCCCACTACCCCTAATTTCATGTTAAAAACTCATGTTTTAAACCAGAGTTCCCCAAACTTTTTTGTGTCGTAGACCCCTTGCCATGTTTTTCCGTGTTGGGTAGACTTACTTACCTGATATTGATTTCCTGTAAATTTCTATCTGTAGTGAAGTTTAGTGTTAAAAACTTAAAGTAAAAACACATGTTAATTTATACATTTATTAATTGTAATATAACATTCTCGTTACCGATATGTCCAAAAGGTCGACTACACTTATATTCTATATAGGTAACAAAAGTGTCACTAAGATAGTCAAGTTAGTTTTTTGTTAGCTTCGCAACCCCACTACCCCTAAATTCATGTTAAAAACTCATGTTTTAAACCAGAGTTCCCCAAACTTGTTTGTGTCGTAGACCCCTTGCCATGTTTTTCCGTGTTGGGTAGACTTACTTACCTGATATTGATTTCCTGTAAATTTCTATCTGTAGTGAAGTTTAGTGTTAAAAACTTAAAGTAAAAACACATGTTAATTTATACATTTATTAATTGTAATATAACATTCTCGTTACCGATATGTCCAAAAGGTCGACTACACTTATATTCTATATAGGTAACAAAAGTGTCACTAAGATAGTCAAGTTAGTTTTTTGTTAGCTTCGCAACCCCACTACCCCTAATTTCATGTTAAAAACTCATGTTTTAAACCAGAGTTCCCCAAACTTTTTTGTGTCGTAGACCCCTTGCCATGTTTTTCCGTGTTGGGTAGACTTACTTACCTGATATTGATTTCCTGTAAATTTCTATCTGTAGTGAAGTTTAGTGTTAAAAACTTAAAGTAAAAACACATGTTAATTTATACATTTATTAATTGTAATATAACATTCTCGTTACCGATATGTCCAAAAGGTCGACTACACTTATATTCTATATAGGTAACAAAAGTGTCACTAAGATAGTCAAGTTAGTTTTTTGTTAGCTTCGCAACCCCACTACCCCTAATTTCATGTTAAAAACTCATGTTTTAAACCAGAGTTCCCCAAACTTTTTTGTGTCGTAGACCCCTTGCCATGTTTTTCCGTGTTGGGTAGACTTACTTACCTGATATTGATTTCCTGTAAATTTCTATCTGTAGTGAAGTTTAGTGTTAAAAACTTAAAGTAAAAACACATGTTAATTTATACATTTATTAATTGTAATATAACATTCTCGTTACCGATATGTCCAAAAGGTCGACTACACTTATATTCTATATAGGTAACAAAAGTGTCACTAAGATAGTCAAGTTAGTTTTTTGTTAGCTTCGCAACCCCACTACCCCTAATTTCATGTTAAAAACTCATGTTTTAAACCAGAGTTCCCCAAACTTTTTTGTGTCGTAGACCCCTTGCCATGTTTTTCCGTGTTGAGTAGACTTACTTACCTGATATTGATTTCCTGTAAATTTCTATCTGTAGTGAAGTTTAGTGTTAAAAACTTAAAGTAAAAACACATGTTAATTTATACATTTATTAATTGTAATATAACATTCTCGTTACCGATATGTCCAAAAGGTCGACTACACTTATATTCTATATAGGTAACAAAAGTGTCACTAAGATAGTCAAGTTAGTTTTTTGTTAGCTTCGCAACCCCACTACCCCTAATTTCATGTTAAAAACTCATGTTTTAAACCAGAGTTCCCCAAACTTTTTTGTGTCGTAGACCCCTTGCCATGTTTTTCCGTGTTGGGTAGACTTACTTACCTGATATTGATTTCCTGTAAATTTCTATCTGTAGTGAAGTTTAGTGTTAAAAACTTAAAGTAAAAACACATGTTAATTTTTACATTTATTAATTGTAATATAACATTCTCGTTACCGATATGTCCAAAAGGTCGACTACACTTATATTCTATATAGGTAACAAAAGTGTCACTAAGATAGTCAAGTTAGTTTTTTGTTAGCTTCGCAACCCCACTACCCCTAAATTCATGTTAAAAACTCATGTTTTAAACCAGAGTTCCCCAAACTTGTTTGTGTCGTAGACCCCTTGCCATGTTTTTCCGTGTTGGGTAGACTTACTTACCTGATATTGATTTCCTGTAAATTTCTATCTGTAGTGAAGTTTAGTGTTAAAAACTTAAAGTAAAAACACATGTTAATTTATACATTTATTAATTGTAATATAACATTCTCGTTACCGATATGTCCAAAAGGTCGACTACACTTATATTCTATATAGGTAACAAAAGTGTCACTAAGATAGTCAAGTTAGTTTTTTGTTAGCTTCGCAACCCCACTACCCCTAATTTCATGTTAAAAACTCATGTTTTAAACCAGAGTTCCCCAAACTTTTTTGTGTCGTAGACCCCTTGCCATGTTTTTCCGTGTTGGGTAGACTTACTTACCTGATATTGATTTCCTGTAAATTTCTATCTGTAGTGAAGTTTAGTGTTAAAAACTTAAAGTAAAAACACATGTTAATTTATACATTTATTAATTGTAATATAACATTCTCGTTACCGATATGTCCAAAAGGTCGACTACACTTATATTCTATATAGGTAACAAAAGTGTCACTAAGATAGTCAAGTTAGTTTTTTGTTAGCTTCGCAACCCCACTACCCCTAATTTCATGTTAAAAACTCATGTTTTAAACCAGAGTTCCCCAAACTTTTTTTGTGTCGTAGACCCCTTGCCATGTTTTTCCGTGTTGGGTAGACTTACTTACCTGATATTGATTTCCTGTAAATTTCTATCTGTAGTGAAGTTTAGTGTTAAAAACTTAAAGTAAAAACACATGTTAATTTATACATTTATTAATTGTAATATAACATTCTCGTTACCGATATGTCCAAAAGGTCGACTACACTTATATTCTATATAGGTAACAAAAGTGTCACTAAGATAGTCAAGTTAGTTTTTTGTTAGCTTCGCAACCCCACTACCCCTAATTTCATGTTAAAAACTCATGTTTTAAACCAGAGTTCCCCAAACTTTTTTGTGTCGTAGACCCCTTGCCATGTTTTTCCGTGTTGGGTAGACTTACTTACCTGATATTGATTTCCTGTAAATTTCTATCTGTAGTGAAGTTTAGTGTTAAAAACTTAAAGTAAAAACACATGTTAATTTATACATTTATTAATTGTAATATAACATTCTCGTTACCGATATGTCCAAAAGGTCGACTACACTTATATTCTATATAGGTAACAAAAGTGTCACTAAGATAGTCAAGTTAGTTTTTTGTTAGCTTCGCAACCCCACTACCCCTAATTTCATGTTAAAAACTCATGTTTTAAACCAGAGTTCCCCAAACTTTTTTGTGTCGTAGACCCCTTGCCATGTTTTTCCGTGTTGGGTAGACTTACTTACCTGATATTGATTTCCTGTAAATTTCTATCTGTAGTGAAGTTTAGTGTTAAAAACTTAAAGTAAAAACACATGTTAATTTATACATTTATTAATTGTAATATAACATTCTCGTTACCGATATGTCCAAAAGGTCGACTACACTTATATTCTATATAGGTAACAAAAGTGTCACTAAGATAGTCAAGTTAGTTTTTTGTTAGCTTCGCAACCCCACTACCCCTAATTTCATGTTAAAAACTCATGTTTTAAACCAGAGTTCCCCAAACTTTTTTGTGTCGTAGACCCCTTGCCATGTTTTTCCGTGTTGGGTAGACTTACTTACCTGATATTGATTTCCTGTAAATTTCTAACTGTAGTGAAGTTTAGCGTTAAAAACTTAAAGTAAAAACACATGTTAATTTATACATTTATTAATTGTATTTAAATTAAAACAAAGATATGTAGGTACTTTTATAAATAATGTATATGTTTTGATATTATAAGATAGTATGATGTAAGTAAATAGGTACTATCAGTGTATGTGTTGAGATCCACTATCGTGGACCCCCATTTTCATTTCATGGACCCCCAAATTTTTTTTCGCTTACGTAGACCCCTTGCAGGTTGTCATAGAACCCTAGGGGTCGATATAGACCACTTTGGGAATCACTCTTTTAAACGATTAAAGCCATTTGACACCCAACTTCAAACAAAGAGTTTCATTTATTTGAACATCCCTCCAACAACCGTCACCGAACTTAATTCTCGTGTTACCTGTTTTTATCAGTATTCCGTCTGCTATTGATACTTGGAAGGTTACAATAAAGATTTAGGTCTAAGTCGAGAATAAAAATTTCCAGATAGCAGAATATCTATGCAAAGAAATGGTTTCCGCCGTGATCTCCCCTCACCTCGTAAAAACGTCAAGCTTCCGTCAAAAGGAACACTTTCAATACACGCTCTGGGGTTACATCCTCGATTCAGACATGGAGATGTTCCTGAACATGCGTCCGGACGCCTGCAGCCAAATCGGAAGACTGATATTGGACCACTTGATAGCGTTCCAGAAGATTTACAAAGCTAGCAATTCTATAAAGATCCCGGAGAACGTTCTAGACGACAGCTGTTTCGATGTCGAGACGTTGATCGACGAAGAGTACCAGAATTTGGATGGAGACGAAATTGAATCGATACTGACGGAGGAAGGAACTCTGATGTCCGCGGAGACGGAATCCATGTTTTCCGTTTCCACTGTGTACACGAATAAAATGACGAAGGAAACCCGGAGGAATTTGTTTGACGTCATTACGAAAGGTAATCTTCATATACGGTACGAGGTCAAGTCCAGCATACGGAAGATAACCAAAGGAGCGAAGTTATCGACGAAGCAGGTTAGTGATTGTTCACTTTGAGTTTGTTTAAAACCCGCGCGTCTCCCTCCGTCCGCTCTAGTGACTAGTGAAACAAACATATGCCTAAAGTTCGCGTGAGATGAGACGGACGATACAGTGTTGCGCGGAACAAAAATGAAGTTAACGACAAAAGCTTTTTATTTAAATAACTCGTAATATATACAATATTTAATAAAATTGCTAGTAACAGCTCTCGGCCAAATTAATGTGTAATTACTCAATTATTTTTTAGCCCCATTATACTTGACATGATTTATTAAAAACGAAATTAGGCGAAAATTAGATGTGACTTTGTTTTTTTTGTATCGAGGATTTTATATTGTAATGTGTTTGTAATTAAAATTTAAATAATGGTGAAGGATCAATACATATTTATTGTTTTTAATTTAAGCATCATATTAGATAAAGTCAAATCTATGATGAGTGATTTTGGTTAGTGCCGAAACTCTTAAAACCGTTTTATATTTCGTTAAACTAATCTAATCGCCATCTTTTAACTAAATTACTGTTTTGTCTTTTTCTGCCAAATTGTGTTATTTAGTAATGAAAAGAGACAGACCTCAAGTCGAAACCCTTTAGTCATAAAAATTAAACTAAAAGATTATATGTACGAGCCAAGGGTGTACATTTTGCTCACTCAGGCTTTCTTAGTTTTATAAACGTGATATCTAAAACGTCAGAGTTACGCCCCGAGAGTATGGCCAGATGCAGGCAATTAACATTTCATTATTACGCATTTATTATATTTATTTAGAGTGGTTAATATAGAGCGACAATAAAATCCTCTATTATTTGAAGGACCCAGGAACCGTACACTCTAATTTCTCTTTTCACCACAGCCTAAACATAATTTGACAGAAAGAGAAGAAGGAGTACTTAAGTTGAAAGAGTGCAATAGACCGTTTCTTAACCTACATAGGTGAACACAATATCAATAGAACTACTGGTAGTGGCTCACGAGTGTTTCTCGTGCGCGTGCGATACCGAGGGCGTGGCGGTCGTGCTCCGGTCCGCGCAGGCGTTGTCCGCACGTCTGCTGGCGGCGAGATCTTGGAGGCTAATGGGGCGATTGTTGACGGGACTGGGCCGGTACACTGAGTGTGCTTATATACTGCAGGTATTTATTTATTGCAGAACACCACATAATATATTATAGGGCGGTATTTGTTACTTGGGAAAATGTGTTTTTCGTTTTTTTTTCACGGAACAGTAGGTATTGACGTACTGTAGAAGTATAGGCTGTAGTTTCGATTCCCAAAACTTATTTAACGGTTTCTTGCGGTTTTAATCGTTAAATTTTTCTACTAAGCAGCCTTTGCCTTCGATTTCGACCCAAAATCGAGGGTATGCCGCTTTCTAAACGATGTTTGGGATGAGAGTTGCACACCAAAACCACCAACACAATATATATCTAACATCTTTCCTTTCTATATAATGATTACTAATTATATCCTTGTACTTGAGTTAAACCTTTTCTAGGCTCTCCGCGAAAACCACCAATTCGAATACTTACTCGGCCAATTCGATTACATGCTCGGTCAGAAGCAGGACAAAATCGCGGAATTCAAGCACGGCCTTCTAGACTTCCTAAAAACCCATTGCCCCGGTGACACCGACACGTACATCATGGTGGCTTTGCATTTCAATATGTTCGCCGAGGCCGCAAACGTTAAGCGGAAGCAGGCGTTGGATCTGATCGACGATTTGGAGAAAATGGCGACCGACGGGGTAAAGGGGAGGAGGCCGACCTGGCCCCAAATCCACGATAACGTACCGACGCGAAGTTTGCTCGATACGGCCCTGAACCATTGCACGGATTCGGCGGAATTGTACCTTCAAGGCGGGTGCACGGGCAGTGCGGGCGAAATGGCGGCTTTGGCCCAACAAGTCGCTTTGCAGATGTCTTTGTTGAACGCGTCACCGACTCGGCTCATCCTGAAGAGGAGTACGGAACAGATGTATGCGCTCGTCAGCGAATATTTGAGGTGAGATCTCAGTCTAGAATTATTAAAAATAATATACGCCAAATAACCCTTTGGTTTTTCTCAGGAAATCATCTTGCAGGTTTTCCAGATCTCTTTGAAACATTGGATATTTTTACTCTGCTGATAATTTTTATCGAAGTAATCACACCACATTTTTTCGAAATCTACTTTTCCTATAAAGAATCGGTTTCCTTTCAGCTTCATGGAAGGCCTAGTGCTGTTGGGCAGTGGGGGCGAAACCTGGAGAGAATTGTCTTATCGAAGGGCCTTGATCAATGACCAAGCCTATCTCAAGGACATGGCTTTGTACCGACCGGATATCGCGTATGATTTTGTTAATAGGTAAGTTGTATCAGCGACTCCAGTTTTACTAACCCCAGGAAATTAAAAAGGTAAAAATAATCCGACTTCAAAAATAACTGTTACGTTATTTACCTAATTACCTATATTATACATCTCTCGAGCGTAAATCCCATATCTCAAAAAAGTACTAAACCGATTTCGATGATATTTGCCCTTCCCTAAGGTTTATAGGATCTCAATACGAAAAGAAAAACACGTGCGTGGAAGTCTAAATATTCAAATTATGTATATGTCCAACTTATAACCTCTCCTATTCGAAGTCTGTTAAAAAGAAAAAATACTTAATAAAATTCGAAGAAAAGTCCGTAATCTGTTTCTAATTGTTGTTTGTTACGACAGGTCTGTGGACGATACACTTCAAATTATAAACTACAATTTGTAGTATGAAATTATTACACGAATATTATAAATTTGTTCCAAGTTTAGTTTTTTTTAAGGTACAAAACAGAAACGAAGAAAACGCCCGCCTCCCAATCAGCGATGACGGAACTCCAAAGTTTGTTGAGATGACATTTACAAAAATATAAACATAAAAATGGATGGTCCTGTGGGAATGAAAAATTGTAATACAAAAGAATACAATCAAGTGTAGGGTTTCTCAAACACATAATATAACAAATCTAAATAAATGCTTTAGACTTATTTAAGTGAACAAAAAAGCATATATTTACAATATGTCTATCGCTAAATGTCAATGTCAACTTGACACCCCACAGATTCCCATAGAACGATTTCCCGCTTCAATAATATCTTAATGAAGTAATTATTGTGCTAAGAACTGTGATATGATTGAATCGACTGAAAAAATATTTTATAATACTATAATCCTTTTCTAATATTAGTTATAAAGAATGCTTCGCTTGTGGAAAAATAATAATCATCAAGCCAAATTTAGCTTCGTTCTTGTTAATAACTACCCTACTCAAAGACATCCATTAAATTGTAGCCTAATAGTTTATTCATACTAAGCAGATCAATTTGTGTCTCCAAAATTAATGTTTTATAATAAAAAAATATATGTATATAAAAAATGCTCTAACTATCAACTGATTTCAGATAGCAATGGATAGGCTTATTGGCTTCCAATTAGATTTATGAACTTATTTAAATGTTTATTAAAGTTTATTCAAACCGTTAAAAATTGATGGGTGACTCTGAGAAGAAATGTTTTTATAAATACATTTGTCCTCTATTTAACCGCATCCATGACTCATATTAATTCCCAGAGAAATGGTTTTACGCACGTTAGGAAACACAACAAGTGTCTACACCTGTCTTTAAATAATGGAAAGTTTTTAATTATTATAATCTGTAACAATGTATTCTATTATAGCGTTTAAGAGTTAAGAAAGAATTTGTTATCAAGTTATTAAATAAATTTATTTTAAAGTGTTTGATTTCACAATTTAATTTCTTATCTCAGATTCCTGGAGTTAGCATAAAACAGTACAAATGAAAGATTATTTATTAATGATTTCAGTACATTGTCATATTCATGAGCTACAACAGTGATAGCGGATTGTCTCTGTGAGACAATCCTTTTCACGCTTAGGGCTACACAAGGCGGTGTCCTGTGTAGCCCTAAGTGTCACCGGTACTGTGGAATTTAGGAGTAACGAGCTCGTAACAGAACTCAATGCTTGCAGTCTCTACACGGTGGGGTATGCGTAGACATAACTATTTTAGTTTCGGGGAACTTTGAAAGCACTTTAAGATGATTTAGAGATGGTGAATTGAGCACGAGCTGTCTGAAAGTTAATAAATGATTCATAGGCCAAACTGTACGCTTCTATAATAAACTACCAAGTGACGTGGTAAACTTATCAAATAATAAATCAAAGAAAATTATAAAACAGAAGCTCTCTAGGAAAGCTTACTATAAAATATCGGATTACTTAGAAGATGCAGGAAACAGTGTCCACACTACACAATCACATACTTAGGGAAAGCATCTGGAGGGAACCGGCATGTTTTTCACCTGAACGACATCTGTCAGGCTGATAAGGCCTAAGTTTAAGTAGTCTTTGTCTAAGGCCAAGAACCATTATAATAATCACGGAGCTAAAGTTATTAAAAAAAAACGAGGTAACTTACTTAAAATATATTTATTATAAATTAACACAAACCCAACACAATACATTGGTATTATTTTCTAAAGTATCCTAAAACAGTGAGAATAAAAAGCCCTAATTTAGGGTACAAGTGAAAAGGACGTCCGCCCTTCTAATACTCGAATTTACAAGAGTTAAGTAAAAGACTTTAGTGGACAAGAAAATTGTAAAATATTTACAAAATACTGGAGAGTATATACTTTGTTCATGTTATATAATAAAAATATTGAGATTCTTAATTTTTTAATTGAGGCCATTTCGTAAAAATATAAGAATAAAAAAACGCAATTAATAGGAACGTATATAAAAATATAACCCGATACATAATGAGAGCGTTGATAAATGAACCAAACATACAACATAAAAATCACCAAAATTAAGTCTTATTGTATAAAAATCAGATCAACGAATTTATGTTGTCAATTTAAGTTACCTACGTATAAATTAAATACGCTATTGCGTAAAAAGGCGCGCCAAAATAACAACAATTCCTCATTTGTAGCTGCAATTGCCTTAATTCCCGTAGTACAAGCGACTAACCACGACCACTATAAATAAAAAAAGCATAAAAATGGAATGTAACAAAATGCTACCTAATAAAAAAGGCAAGATAAATAATTGGCAAAAAATCTCTTAAGTATTAATTAGTGAATTTATTGAGTTAAAAAATATTTTGGCCAAAGATTATACATCTATACTACAGCCATAGATAGAATGGGCTGGGCCAAAATAACACAGGTAATCAAATATTACTAATTCATTAATACTTCAAATAAATTAAGTACAAAATGTAATTTAATGCTTCATGATAAAAAGTACAAATCAATCACGTTGCAACTAAATCGAATAACGTCCGTATGTTTAAGAAAGATCTTAGTCCTTTTCAATCTCCAGGAAATGTTTTATGTTAGATAAAGACAATGTGCTTTCGTATTATTTGGCACAGTCCATTAATTATCATGACATTATTTTAAAACTTATCTTGTCGCCTAGGATATGCCTATCTGTAGTAGGGTTTGTAGGAAATTCTTAAATCATAATTTGTATTAAATTAATTGACATGGGTAACTTCTTACACTCCTAGTTATTGTACTAAGGGTAGTTTTCATGGCCGACTGACACTTCGAAAAACCTTCAAATAATTTGAACATTTTCGTTTTAAGACTTTTTTAGAGACAATTTAACCCTTAAATGCATGATGATGTATATATACATCAGTGTTTTCTTCCTTACATAATTTCTAAACAGTAACTCAAGCACAGTACTTTTAACTTTTTTTAGGTGCTAAAAATATCTGTCTTGGTTTTTGAACGCAAGCTTTCGTGTTTTGGCAGTTGACGTTTTTAATTGTCATAATTTGACAGCTAGCCGCGCTACTTACAAATACTGACTTGGGCGGTTAAATTTTAATTTCGTTTTAGTGGATACCAAATAGTATTATTACGTGCTTAAAGTGATATACGAGAGAATAAAGGTAAGAAGGACAGATTACATTGTATTTTTTAAGAATTTAATAACAGTTGTTGTAAATATCAGCGTTATAATTGTGATGTAGAAATACATCAGTATGCACAATCGGCAAGAAATAGTTATACTCAGTCTAACTGTAGGTATAATATTTTATTTTTTATTTTTGACTTTAATTTATGAATTACTTTGACATATACCATATATTTCAAACAGATAAATAATTTAAAATTATTTATTATTACTATAATATTCATTTCAACACGGCAATACGGCTCACCACCTATTACCTATTACGTGGGACAAAGTCTATGAGGTGAAATGTGGGCATATAATATGCCTCTGCCTACCCCTTCGGGGATAATATATGCTATCATTATATATGTATGTAATATTAAATTTTTACATTATAGGTATATAGGGTAGGCGGAGACTATCCTTCAAGTTATATATTCCTAACACATATCTATCTATCACGCTTTTACTTTCATGGCTAGTTATACATTCGTATGAATAATTACATTTCATAGATACGTAATTTATTCATATGAATTTTATAATTATTTTTCCAGAATGTCCCGCAAATTGGCAGATAGAGACATAAAACAAATTTTGGCGGCTTTAGAAAACGGAAATATTTCTGAGGATGGCTTGGAAGATGAAAGTGAAGATGAAGAAACCTTTTACACTAATGCAAGAGAAAAAATTCGAGAGTTGGAAGACGAGGATGCAGAGGACCATGAAGATCCTAACTATAGCGATCCACCACTAGTTCAAGATTTTCCTGGCCCATCAAGTCAAAGTATTGCTTCATTATCCACGCAAGAAGGTCATGAACACTTTGTAGAGTTTGATAAAAGGAAACTCATTTGGAAAAAAGACAGTTTGTTGTATGACGAATCGAAAATAATTCACCGATCAAGCACAACAGACCCTGCTATAACTGAACTCGACACACCATATAAATGTTTCTTGCACTACTTCACACCCCAGTTTCTTCAAAAAATTGTTGATGAAACCAACCTATATGCAGTACAAAAAAACCCTTCAATATCTTTTACTATTACTGTTGGGGAGTTAAAAAAATTCATAGGAATTCTTTTATTTATGTCAGTGGAGAATTTTCCAAGTGTACGATCATACTGGCATTCCAAGTTTGGGTACGAACCTGTAAAGAGCGTAATGCCGGTAAATCGGTTTGAGATGATTAGGAGCTACTTACATTTCAACGATAATCATAATCTTCCGCAAGACCAATCTGGTCACGATCGCTTTCATAAGATTCGGCCTGTAATAGAACAGCTAAATACGACATTTTCATCAGTTGCCATTGACCAACGACTTTCGATAGATGAGCAGATGTGTTCAACTAAAATTGCACATTTCCTAAAGCAATATTTACCTAAGAAGCCTCACAAGTGGGGTTATAAGCTATACGTTCTCTGTAGTCTTATGGGATATGCTTACAGATTTGAGGTCTATTCTGGACAAGAAGAAAAAAAAGACAAACCAGCCGATGAGCCTGATCTTGGAATAACAAATAACGTCGTTATACGTTTGGCGAGAGTTATACCAAGGAATAACAATCATATTGTGTTCTTCGATAATTTTTATACGTCCCTGCCCTTAGTAAATTATTTAAACAAACAGGGTATACAATGTGTCGGAACTATTCAGCAAAACAGGCTGCCGAACTGTCGGCTCCCTGACAAAAAGGAACTAATGAAAACTTCTATTCCGAGAGGTACATATGAAGAACGCGTTTCCCATTCAGAAGGAGTAGACTTTTCGGCCACTGCATGGAAAGATAATAAAGTCGTCACTCTTTTATCGACTTACGTTGGTGCCGAGCCTGTTGGAAAAGTATCAAGATACGATAAGAAGGCTAAACAAAAAATTGACATCCCTTGTCCCAAAATTGTACAAGAGTACAATATGCATATGGGCGGGGTCGATCTAATGGATAGCTTTTTAGGACGCTATCGAATTCGAGTAAAGAGCCGGAAATGGTATTTACGCTTGTTTTATCACCTTCTGGACCTCACAGTAATCAACTCATGGGTGCTTATGAAACAAAATCTAATTGCTAAAGGTGTCTCAAAAAAGCAACTGCCTAATCTTGGGGAGTTTCGTAATTGTTTGGCTGACACACTGTGTAATATAGGTAAATCTAGTGGTAGTAAAAGAGGACGTCCTAGTACTTCCTCTCTAGAACGCGAGCTTCATATAAAAAAACAGAAAGGTCCGCAACATCCACTCCCGTCAAAAGATGTGCGCGTAGATGGATTCGAACATTTGCCTGTATTTGCCAACCGATTACGGTGCAAGATGCCCAATTGTAAGGGCACCACACAATGGTCGTGTACCAAATGTAATGTACCGTTGTGTCTAAATCAGAGAAACAACTGTTTCAAAGATTTTCATACACTGTAATAAGACTAATACGTAAATAATCGTATCATATAATAATACTTAGTTAACATTATTAAAAGTAACTGTAATGCATACTGATGCAGATCTACATCAGTAAGTTTTTTGTATAAAAATATACTTTTATAAAAAAAAACAATTTTTTCTTTATTTTTCCCATAATCTATGTTTAATTTTCTACCTGTTTCAATTTATGGTATTTAAAAAGGAAAAAACATGCATTTAAGGGTTAAGTCAAATCGGCCTTGAAATCCGATAACAATTCACACATCGATTTCGAAAATATTTTTGTAATTGCTTTCAATTGAGCAAAGAAAATGTGTCCCTAATAAGCTGATTTCACAAAATTATTTTACACATTACACAACCCCCGCGACTTTACAAGAATATTTCTCATTAAAAACATCATCACAGTCTTCTCACAATTCACTTAACCTATATATTTACAATATTTACATTGATCGTTCAACGACGCATAGTCAATAAGAGAGTAACTAATGTCTAACCCCTCATTAATAAAAACAAAAACAGTTTTATCAAACGTGACGAAAAGTTTTCATATACGAGCTCGCATGCGTAAATTTTCCGTACAGCTCGAGCTTCGAGCTTCTGTTTAGTTACTTGTATATTATATTTCATACAATAATCCGTTACTATTCAAGTATTACATATGCTAAGAGCCTTCGGACTCTTCATCACAGCAGTAGAGATACGAAATGTTTTAGTTGAAATATTGTATTTATATTTATGAATGAGGGGTTGAAAAAGTAGTACAATGTGGAAAAATGTGGTTCAAACATTTACGTTAATTATACCTAATTGTGTTAAATGTGCGATAAATTTTTATGTAGGGTAAATTTCTGTAAAATTATAAAATTGGTCAGTTACCAATTGGTATCATATATATTTTATATAAAAGCGGAAACAAATCTTATTTTTAACCGTCTTTTACTTGTTTATGTATTATTATTAGGCATTAGACACAGGAAAGATAAATAACTTTAGATTATGTTCGGACTTTGCACTTCTGTAGTGCTTTGAGACGACATACATTTAAGAAAAATCTATACACTTTTAATGACCATTGCGGTTCCTACATACTTCCACTTATTTATCTATTTCTAAGTAAACTAGATACATATACGTTACATAAACTGACCATACTCTGATATCTTGACATGACTGTCGGCTTAAAATTCAGATAGAAGTAACATTTCAGCTGTCAAAATCCGAGAGTCATTTGACATGTGTAAGTATATGTAAACTTGTCACTGAATGCTGAATGCTAAGTTTTAACAACTGTCAAAAAGCAATTACTATTTGACAGATGGTAATGTTTGTTTGTACTTGTCTCTGAATTACAGTCTTAGCCCAAGTGACTTACTTTGTCTTTAAATGTGGTTTAAAGTTTGTTGCCATGGTTACGATGTTACTTATAAAAAAGATGGTAACCATGTCAACAAATGCGGTACAAACTTTGAACCACGTCTTATAAGATCGTGGATGATAGGTTCATCTGAGGTTTTAATTAGTCCAACACAGAATAATTTTGTCACATATTTTAAACTACAGCAGTTACTCGATAATGGTGTTTCTCCTTAACTATAGTTTCGATAGTCCTATGTACATTTTCGGGTAAGTGGTCCAGCAACATTCGCGGCATTACCTGCAATTCCATGAAGTCTTCTGCGCACGCCCATCGCATTTCGTACGTTGGTTCTTGGATACGCACTTTTCTAAAAATTAAGATAGTATATTATGGTTTTTGTAATGTAAAGTAATCATATAATTATTATTATATAAATGATGGCCCCGTATTTGGCAAGTAAGTATAAATAGTTATTTTTCAGTATTTTTGTAAACATTTGGTTAAAATCTTGGAAATGATAATTTGAGGGTATTTAAAAAACGATCTACCTTACATTGAGGTATTTTGTGTTTTGGAGATTTTGAGAAAAGTACTAACCTTTCTTCTTTAGTCTCTCCACTTAAATGTTGCGTGTAAATTAAATCGGTTTTAATATATTTTCAAATAAATATTATTGTCACATGAAATCCTTAGTGACTAGGTAAGTGGTGCCCATATTATGTTTTGAATGGCGAAATCTTATTTCTTTTTAGTAATGTCAGTGAAGTCTTTAGTAAAAACAATAACTTTATGCCTGATATATCCTATATTTTTATGTATTATATTACGCAATACGTACTTTTCAATGCCCATGCGCTTGCGCCGAACTATATGTAATATCCTTCCAGGCGTGAAGAGACGGGCTGTGGAAAACCGCCGCGTGAACACGTTTCTTGACACTAGTGCCGCCTCCTGGAATTTAACGGAGTCTTGCTGTTTAATAGCCACATATATAAAACACATCTAACATATAATTTTACAAGTTGCATCATTTTTCTTTTTTGAAGTTTCTATGAAGAAATCACACAAACTTAAAATATTATGAACTTTTATGGATTTTTAATTCTAGAAATATATATTATTTTAAACAAATGTAAAGCAAACATACACATGTTAAAAACACAAAAAATCACTCAAAAACATGGGAAAGTGTATTGTGGAAGTGTTAATATGGTACAACATATAATCACTTACCGTTACGAAGTATGAGAGCGATTGAATATTAGTAAAAAAGGCTTGGGTCTAAGAGAAACTAAAGATTTCGCATTGTTCTATACATTTATATGTCAAAAGAATAATAAATAAAATTATACAACAAGTAATAAAGCAATTGTTAAGTGCCTATCTGATATATAATCCTGTAAAATGATAAAATCTAAAATTGGAAGTTTAATATTATTTATTTTTACTTTTTAATTTTTTGTAACATTTATATTTACCATAATTGTCATGAATTTTATAAAAGATAGCTTGTAACATATACTGTAGATATAGCATTATGTATGATTTGATGAACTATTAATAAATTAACTATTATAAATTAAAAAGTATATAAAATAACGTGGTGAAAAAAAAATAAAAAAAATATAGCTTTTTATTTAATCAGGGAACAATAATCTTGTATTTGATTTAGATTGTATAAACAATTACTGAGCATTACGGTTTGATTATCCCGGACCCAAGCCCACCAATGATCATGCTTACCTCCACAATGACATCACAACCCAATGATGACGTCACAACAATGACGAAGACAACACACAAGACCTGAAATAAAAGTTTTACTGACAGCACTCACGGTGGAGACGCCCTGGCTCAGCAGTGCGTCAGTGGAGTCATCGGAATGGTTCGCTTCAAGGTCCTCGGGCCTTCGCCACGTGGACTCGAGGTCCCGAGCTGGTACTCCGAAGAGCGCGTACCCGAAACCATTCAGCATAATTCGATACTGGAATACGATTTAGTTTTTTCTCGTATTAGGATTTTATACACAAAGTTTACGATTTTTTTTATTCTTCGAAGTCAATACTATCATGGCAGTTTTTGACAGCTATTTACAGTATATCATAAACTCGATATCCATGATATCATAAACCCAACCTATACGAGAAGTTAAAAAAATGACATTGGGAAGTCTTATGAAGTTATACTACTTTTGGTGCGTTAGGGAAAAATGATGAGAGTAAATTTTTATCGATGCGCACATCGTCACAAAAAACCGATACCCTGAAGTTACCTATAGTCAACATTTTAATTTTTTTTGAAGTTAGTGAAAAATTATGAGAGTAATTTTTTTTCTATTGTTAGTGTCGTTTTTTCTACGTAACGTAGAATAAGGCGAAAGATAAAAATTTTGAAAAGATTTTTATCTTGTTCAAAGAAGTAATAAGTACACACACGTTTTTTTTTTGCTACAGAACAAGCTCTCCCTTTGTACTACACTACATCCGTATTTTAATTGATTTGATAAGTTTTAGTGGGTTAAGCTTGCGTCTCCCACTAAAACTTATCAAATGTGCATTTAACACTCGCTCCATGACAGGAATATCATGCCTTAACAATTTAAAATTTAGTGTTGTTACACACTTGAAACGAACCGAATGGGAAAAGGAAAAAAAATATTTTTCTTTATTTTTTTTTATATCTCTCATTATATTTTTTCTTTGATTATTGTTATTTTGTGTGTTTTTGTTAGTAATAAATGCTATGTCTATGATACCTTAGGTAATTTGGTTGCGTGTATGGTCTGTATGACTTTGGTCCGCAGGTTTTCTATACTATGGACGCTCAGCCTCATGACCAGGTCATCTCCAACTCCCACCGTGAGGACAAAACTCTCAGTGTAGCGCGCTGCTTCTCGACTTATCAAGCCCGCTGAAATAAATTTTATCCGACTTCAAAGGGTGGTTATCAGTTTCAACTGCGAAAATGTATGTGAAATAAGCAAAAAGATATTTTTTTTAAGTATATGTATGTATGTTTTTCCACAATTGTTTCAACACTTGAAAGATATATAATTTTTAATTTAGATATATTTATACTTAAGGAATAGTTCAAGTTCAATCAAAAACGTTCAAACAAGTTCAGTAGATTTTTTGTGAGCCTGGCCACATTACTTTGAACTTTCTTAAATTGTAATCAGGTCTTTCTTGCTTTGTAATGTTTCTTTTGGAATAGTTAGATGTATCAGTCTTGTTTTCACGATCATCGTGGTCACAGATATATTATTAGTGACACAGTTCACAATATATAATAAAATAAAAAATAAAAATAGCCTGTATTCGCGTGCTACATAATCAGGATTACATTAAGTCCATGTCATTATGTTTAACATTAGACGACCTCCGACGGAGGAAGGCCTTTGTCTCTTATCCGCGCCACCATTTTCTAATCCTCCTCCGCTATCTCTTTTATTCCATCTTCCTAGGTTTCTGGAGAGCGTATCCTCTTTTTTCCCCCTGGGCCATTCCAAGAAGGGTATTTTTGAGCCATCTGTTATCACAAACGCGGGCAATGTGACCGGCCAATTTCCACTTTAACTTTTTTGAATGTGTTACGACGTATGTTATGTTTGTAAGGTATTACACTGTTATTAACTTTGTCTTTAATTTCAACCGACAAAACTTCAACAGTTCATACCTTCGATCAAATACAACTTTTTTTAAATTTTTCTTACATGAACATCGATTTCAAGTAAGAAAAACAAACGAGACATTTTATATATTGTATTGTAATAATATAAATCATATCCGTGAAAAAAGAACGGCTCAATTAGCTAATACGTAAGTTTTTTATAATTCATAATTAACATAATAAATTACATATTTTTTCCTCATTTCTATATTTTTTGTTTCCAACTAATAAGGATATGACATACCAAAGGCGAAGTTCAACTTATCTAATTATAATCAATAAAGGTTTAATCCAAACTTTAAACCATTAATTATGTATACGAGTTATTGAAGATAAACAAAGTCAAAGCAAAACATCTTTACGGAAGCAAATTATTATTATCTAATATATAAAATTCTCGTGTCACAATGTTCGTTCCCATACTCCTCTGAAACGGCTCGCCCATTCTTATGAAATTTTTATGCATATTCAGTAAGTCTGAGAATCGGTTACCATCTATTTTTCAAACCCCTAAAAAAAATATTTTTTAGAATTTTTTTTGTTTTTATTTTTTTATGATACTGCATTCAAAAATACATACAACCCTTAATTTTTATCTACCCTCTAAGATCAACCCCTATTTATTATTAAAGTAGATAGTTTTATTATTAAACTAAAAAAATGTTTCCTAGAAGGCAAAACATTATACACGGCAAAACAACGTTTGCCGGTTCAGCTAGTATACATATATAAATCAGTTAATTCTATCTTTCCTAATTCTACATAGATGAGTCGCGCGAGTAATAGTTATATAAAAAAGTATCTTAAATTGAAGCCTTCAAATCCAGTCTCCAGTCCAGTCATGAATAACCATATGGACTTATGATTGTTATAAGTAGTACTAAAACATTTTTTAGAAGTCTTAAGATTCTGAAATATACGTTTCATAGTCATAAACTGAAAGTTTTAATACAATTTGAGTTTAAACCCCCTTTAATCACAGACGTATCTACTTATTTATTTACGATGTTATTTTGAAGATAAAGTAACAAAAATACTACGTAAATTGTTCATTTAGTAATAAGAGTTATTGTAGTTTAAAAGTCGATTTTTAAGCCAAAGAAACTTTACAATGGAAACTACAAAAACTCCCCCGTGCTATTTGATTCCACGAAAATATTTATAATTTCATATATTTAAAATCATGCTAATTGCATTAATTACCTCCGACCACAACCTAGTCGTGGACTTACTTAGAAAATATATAAATAAAAAAAAACATGCTAATTACCAACCTGGCGTAGAAAATGCAAACACTTTCAAATGCGGATATCTCGGCCTCAACTTAATCCCCACCAAGACGGCCACTCCTGCGCCGAGGCTGTGACCTGTGAATAATTGCGTTGGTAAATGGTAATTATCAAAGTGCCCTGCGGTTTTAACCGTCTATAATAATACTAATCATTTGTCCTTGAAACATTCAAAAGATACAATTAAAATTTTATACAGAAATAATAATAATTTATTTATTGCAAGAATATGGTACAAATATGTGTAAGGTGGTACAATCGTAAGTTCGCATATTCTGCCACACACAATGGCGCACAAATTTGTCCTTAATTGGTTAATAGTGCATCAATAACTTTGGATTTCTTTCTTATTTCTGTATTTTTTATACTTTTGTTTTAAATTTATTCCGCCCGATTATATTAACTATCCGACACAAAAATACTCGTTTAATTTCCAAGCAGTTCTGAGATTAAAGCGTTTTAATAAATTATTTAGCTTAAAAATTTATTATATATCGTAATAGCTTAATATTTCAAATCCTTTTTTACTTTAAATAGCTATCGAATTTTTTCATGACAATAAGAATACATTATGTACATGTAAACATTATAATAATAATAATAATGTTATGACTTTAAAATAAATATAATTATTGACATCTTAATGAATTTCGCCACATTCATTCGCGGGATTAGAACTTCGCAATTGAAACGACCAAGACTTTCACCAATAAGCCGTCTTAAATTTAGGAACAGGTAACTACAGTTGTTATATTTCGCAGAACTCAGGTTAACAACCTTGAATTAGGCCTACAAACTCAAGAAACAATAGTTACGAAATACAATTTGTTACAATGGTTCTTTTGACATAATATTATGTTACTCAATATAGCAAAGGGTATAATATATACTGATGGAGCTAGTTGACGTGTCTTTATTGTTTTTACAAGAGTAACAGAAAAATAGGATATCCATAGTTGCTGTACACTTTGAAATTGATCTTCGTTTAGTTTTTATAAATTTTAATTTTCTCTCTTCGTGTATGTGGTTTGCCTATATGCTTGTCACATTGAAAATTGTATTTTATTTTTCTTGTATCTTTATGTATCAAAGTGCCGAACGTTGGCAAGCTTTTATAAATAAAATAAATAATTAAATTTTTCTTTAATTACGGAACCGACTTCACGACTTGATAACCTTAGATTAATAGACATAGTTATCTGTCTAATTAACAAAGATGTTATGTATAATTGATCTGTAAATAAATAAATAAATTAATTAATTAATTAATTAATAACGAATACTAAGACACTCGAAACGTAGGTGATAAATTCGGAATTATTTCCATTTTAAAATATTATTAAGTACAGCCTGGCCGTAAATTATGCTTATGAATTATTACCCTTTATAATAATTATTTTATTCTTACATAATAATTAAGTAATTTGATACGCTCTGATAGTAACTATGTCTTAATATGTTATATAAGTCTGGGATTTTTAACATAATTTAATATTAAAAAAGACGAAAGATTTATACAAATTTGTTAACTATAAGATTCTATATTATCTCTGAGTTACATATGCCATACTGAAACAGTGTTCTGAAGGTGTATATATAGAAATAAGATTGATTCTCGAAACTAGAGTTAAGTATTGCCTAATTAAGCTTTTAAATATTATAATTGTATGTTTGTCGGCCTTATAAAACGTGGACCAATGTTACTAACGTGGTTTCTATGTTAAGAACTCACCTGTAAGAACTAGGTCATAATGCGGAAACTGCTGAAAAGCTCGATCAAGAACTGGGTTTAGTCGTCGCAGCATTTTCGCAGCTCCCATAGACATCCCCTTGTGGGCCGCAGTACCTTCAGGTAAACCTAGAGAATCAAGATCAAATTAAAAACAATATTTCAATTGGTAAACGAAAATAATTATTTGATTTCTTGTCAAGAATATTTCGGGAGATCGATTATAAAATTACGTAATAATTTTTTCGAGTAAAAGCCTGGCAACACACTTGCGAGCCCTCTCTAACACATAAAATGTGAGCCTCCTGCCCGTTCATGTTTGTTAATTTTATAAATGATGGAATACCATTCATTTCGAGATGTATAAATTAAAGGAACGAAGAAATATTTGAAGTGATATTTAACAATAAGGAATAATTGCAATTAGTATAAAAAAATTACCATCAGCTTCGAACCTCTCGGAACCGGCTGTGAAGTCGGTGAAGATATCACTGAGTGATATCGAGCCGCGGATAGCGACCACTATACTCTCACGTTCATGGTCCACGATCACACAGAATGGAAGCTGTAAAATATATATTTATTAACAACAAATCCAAATTTTAACAAAAAATAGCAGAGTTGATTAAGAAGAATAATTATACAATTAGAAATAAACTAAATCGCCTTACTAGAAGTTAATCGTACCGTGTATTGCTTTCAAGGGGATGGTTTTTTTGAAGTCACGATGCTTCTATAAATCGGGGCAGTTCTTAGGGTGTAAGTCTTATTGAAGACAACTTACGTATACATGAACAAAAGAAGGGATGGTGATCCATTCCTGCAAGTACTGGACCCTATCTCCACTAGCTATTACTAAAAGCGAATGGCCCGGTCTGTGAAGAGTACTTGCTGTGTCAAGTATCGTCACAAACTAACAATGGGCGTGGCGAGGCGGAAGCAACGGCCGCGTCGCTTGTCGGGAAGCGGATAGATGTCTGCTTTTACCGCATCCCGCCTAAGGCTATTGTTGGTGGCGCCTTGGGGTTTTAGTGGGTATGCACAATCGCGAATCCCACATAACCCTTCCGCACTAAGCAGTCGCGCAGCGGTAGGCTTTGCGCAATGCATTTCCAAAAGTAAAAAAAAACACGAGTAAAAATCTAACTACGCCTTTGAAAAGTAAGAAACTTTGATGCTGCTCCATTATTTACAATATATGTATTAGTATATCGATCGGTGAGGTTTAAAGCTTAGCTTTCCCTATAGTTACTGAGTGCCGCTCTGAACATTGCTAAATGAATTACTAGACTAAACATGAGTCAATTTAGTAAATGCATTTTAGCTGTTATAATTTGGCAGGATAAATCTAAAGTTGGCGGTGGTTTCCTAGTCTGTAGGTTTTTGAAAATAGAACACGATCACTATGAGTATACTCGTAGTCTATCCTCTTTATTCACAATTGAAACGTTTAGACTAGAACGGTTTATTCTCTCTGTTTGTTGTAATGTTTTCGTTTGGTTTTTTGTACTAACTCTTTAGTTTACAAGGAATTTAAAAAAAATTCTGTGGTGTAGCCCTTCAGGCGCCAGCCGCCAAGGTTAAAGTGAACCTTTTTTTGTAATATATATAATATCATTATTATTATTATTAAAATCATTGTTATTAAACTATTCACGAACATTATAATCTTTCTCGCGATATTGTCGAAGACTTTAAGACAGTAATACAAGTCACAAAAAGCTAAGATTTTAATCTATCACAGACAACGCAGATAAAATCGCTTCAAAATCATACAAAAAATTACAAAATAATGTTTGAGGAAGCGCGCTCAGGGTCATCGCTCATTATTACTGTATATGATAACAATTGCCTCGCTATATTGTTTACCGGATAATCGTTATAACAAAAACACCGCAATACAAAATATTATATTGTTAGGTCAATTGACAATTGACTCATGAGTCGAATATAATCTTTTTGTACTTAAAATGTCGTATTTAAAAGTTTGTCTTTTATATAAGTACTTCTTAACAGATATAAAAGTACAAAACTAGTGCCCAAGGTCCAAGAAACTAAACAGAGGAAGACAACTTAGAAAGTGGATAGATTTAGGAAACAGCAGGTGGTACATGGCAGAGAGTGGCACAGTACAGAGAGAAATGGCGGGATTTAGAGGAGGACTCAGACGAAATAGGGCATACAGATACTCAAAGAGGGAGATAGAAATATAAATGTCTTTAAGTGTAAAAGTACCTGAAAAGCCTTTTATAATTATTATATATAGAAAAAGAAAACTGTAGTAAAAGGTGTGTACAGATGGCGGAAAGTGGCTTTTTGTAATGTAATAATATCATATGTATTCGTATTATTTATCCCTTTATTCATAAAACATTTTATAATAGCAGAGCATGTCTCTTATCGTCACAGCGAAAACACAATTTGTCAGAAAGGGACGAAAGTACTTCAAGAGTGCAAAGGGACCTTCTTTATAAGGAGGTTAATGTTATCAGATGTTAGGTAATTTAGTAAATATATGTCCACCACATATCCAAACAGAAGCTTTAACATGTTATGGTAATATTCAGAAACTTTGCGCTAACTGTGACTCCCGTAAATCAAAAAACCTACTCGATTTTGTTTCTTAAAATCCGCTACATAATCTGTAGTACTGAATTTCGTCATCATCAATGTACCATTGCAAACAATTTTATCAATTAAACGTCTCTGACAGTTGTTAGTAAACCTATTACTAAACCAACAAGAAACAGTTAGAATTTGGATGCATCTTACACAAAGCCTTAATCATGCATTGTAATAAATAGATTTCGGACAAATTAAATCACTAATTACTATATTAATTTAATTGTTAATTAATTTTAAATGCGAACAGGATACCAAATGTATGCCCAAACGAGCGATCCAATTTAAATTGATAAATTAAACTTTTAAGCAAACACTTTGTTATAAATGCGAAAGTTTGTTATAAGCGCCGAAGAGTGAAGAACGAGCCGAGGATTTACAAGATAAATATAGGTTTAAAACACGTTTTTATCATTATATCTCACATTACATACATTTACTAACAATCGTAAACAACATCTCAACCTGACCTATGCTGAAACAGAAAATATTTTTATAGTGTATTGTTTAATTATAAAATGTGTTATGTAGAAATTATTGTCAAGTACGGTTATCATGTCAAAAGGAAGAGACTGGCAGTCCACGACACAGGGAATCCTAGTGTAGGGGCTAGTGCACTTTCTTTTTACCTAAATATACTTTTTATTGAGTACATAATACATATAATAAAGTTTTTTTTTCTATCACTTTATGAAATACAGGGTATCGGCAGTTTTGTTTCGTAGTATATTATGAAGAGGAAATATTGGATTTTTGACTATATTTGTATTGAATAAAGTAAAAAACTACTTACGGAATAATGGAATAACTAAAATTAATAGCAGACCGACAATTTAAAAATATTCATAAAAATAACTATTGTATGATTACTAAAACAGATTTCTCGATTTCTGTTTCATGATCAGTTGTCAATCTAATAGCCAAGTAGGTGATCAGCCTCCTGTGCCTGACACACGACTGACGTCGACTTTTTGGTTTTAAGGCAAGCCGGTTTCCTCACGATGTTTTCCTTCACCGTTCGAGCGAATGTTAAATTCGCACATATTAAGAAAGTCCATTGGTGCACCGCCGGGGATCGAACCTATGACCTCAAGGATGAGCGTCGCACGCTGATAATTACTACAATAAATTACAAAACTCTTTTACATAATTATACTTTTAAAAGATCCTCTTGATCCACTATGTCTATTTGAATATTACCAAATTTAGTTGTGTAGTTTTTAAGATTGCGTACAAATACAATGAAAAGCGATTTTGTTACGCTCTGTAAGTTTTATACGTGGGTCAATGGTCAGACAATTGACTTTTAACTGGAGGTCAAAGGTTCTACTGATTAGAATTTCATGTGTTACATTTCTTGGATATTTTAGTTGAATTAACACGAATAATTTTTAGATTTAATTCCAAACTAAAAACAGTATGTAAAATTCGAAAGTAATGTAATAATTTTAAAACTTCTTTCACGAATAGAAAGTTATATTATGAGTGAAATTAATAATAGTATCACATAATTAAATATTTGTGTTTTCTCGTTTATGTACTGACAACAGGTATTAAAAATATTCATATCTATAACTGGTTTAACTGTTCCTTCAGGCCTATAAGAATCATAACATACGAGATAAAATCATTTACATAGGGACCGCTTACGTATCTTTATCCAAATCATATAATAACTGTATAAAAAGTTAAGAAAAACAGTCTGTTTTAATTGAGCTCAGTTCTTGTTTATTTCCTCAATTATTGCAATTGAGCCATAGCATCTTAGACGTCCCTGGGTTTGAATAAAAACGAAACAAAGATGCTTCGTATTGGGATGTGATTCCTGTGAAAAACAAATAGGTCTACCCGCACACACAAGCATGTCAAACTATTGATAAAAAAGTCGTAAAATATAAAACTATTTTAATAGCATTTTTGCAGACTTTTGGGCGACTAGATACATATTGTATGCGATAGACCTTTGAGCCTAGCAAAAGCTTAATTATTAGGCATGTGCTTGTGAACTTACTTCGAAAACACTGTTGTTGAATGATGCAAAAATGATGTCATCAGCAGAAAGTTTGGACATGTATTTGACTCCAGCAAAGTGGCAGAGACAGCAGTTGTCGTCTGACACAATTGTATTCTTTGGCCTGAAAGAATACTTTTATTATTATTCTATATTTGTGTACGAATGCTGTACGGCCACGAGTTTTATTTTACTTTAAGATATATTAATTAAATTAGTAATTGATTTACTAGTCGTACATTGGATATCAGAGCCAAAATAAGAGTTGTTCATCAGATATAGTACCAGTTTTTTTTTAATTGAGTCGAGAATTATATATTATCAGTGTTATAACTTTTACCATTTCTAGTTATGGACTACTGAAAGTTGATTATTATAAAAAAATGGCGGTTGCTAAGTAAAAATTACGGGTTTATTTTTAAATCCAAATCATAGAAAAAATAGTCTTAAAAAGGTTTTTGGTGGGCTCATAGCTTTTAAAGGTAGAATAAGTTTACTTTATCTCAGACGTACATATACACAAAGTTTTCCATACAGCACTTTCCGAGAAATTTAGTTTCAAACACTGACACGGATTTTTTTTACGTTTACGCGAGTAAAGGATTTTGTGTGTCAACGATATTTACCGCGTTCATGCTTCGTTTAAACTTTCACGAAAGTTACTTTTCTTGCCATAAATTAATTTTGATAATAACTGCACATTTTGCCAGAATTTAATTATAAACGGCGTATATAGCGTCGGTGAAAAAAATGTGTCTACACTTTCTAGATTTAAACAACGCCGGCAACGCACTCGCAAGCCCTCTGGCATTGAGTTTGGACACTGATATGTGTGGTGATAATATCACTTAACATCAGATGACCCTCCTGCCCGTTTGCCCCTGTTAAAAACCAATTCAAAAGGGCATTAAAGATACGTATCAGACGAGCCTAGTACACTAAAATTGGGACGGCTGATGGCGACGTGTAACTCGTTCGTATATATATATTAAGTTTCTCATATAAATAAAATAGATTATTTTTGTAATGAGAAATAAAGTTCTTTAAACATAAACATAAAAAAATTACATCATTCTTAATATTTTATTAAAGTAAACTCACCTACAACAGCAACAGGTCAAGTGGCGTGCCAACTTGCAGAATCCCGTGAAACAATGCCGATAAAGTACGTACGGCCATCCGTAGGCGGCAATTGAAAGCCTTAAATAATGCAACGCGTGATCTAAATTCATCCAAGGCGGTGTTTCAGAGAACACTTTGTTCACATCCGTAGTGTATATTGGTTCTTCGTCGTTCAGCATTTGTATTCGTCGCATTTCTCGCGTTTCGCGCTTCTGTCTTACCCTTAATAGGACACAGCCGGCGACCACGTCTGAGGGCACGAGGTCCGTCGACCTGAATAGGGCGCTTAGTAACGCTGAAAAGGAAAAATGTGCTTAAATACAGGGTTTATAGTAGCTAATTTTAGACTAAAAGTAATAAATTTAACAATACCAGCTTATTAATCTACAAAATTCTAAATGACTAATATACACTAACATTACTTCATCTCACAATCTAATTCTACCTAAGTTTAGAACCAATAACGGTAAAAAAACATTGAGCGCTGGGGGAGTGCTGCGGTATAATAGACTTCCACAAAATATAAAAAGTGCAGACAGCCTGGCAATATTTAAATTAAGACTAAAAGACCATCTCTTGAGTGATCCCAGTTCTACGTAAATGAAAGTCCACCCAAGGTCTACTTCGCTAATTCATCCTTGAAGCTCTTCAATGACCCACGACGTAATAAATTGTATCTTTAGTATATAAGTTCTTATAGGTGACTATAATTGTCTGTTATGAGAATAAATGTGTTTAAACCTAATTTAGTACTTTTAATATAAATAAAAAGTTACATGAACAATCCACTACTTGTAGGATGAGACGGGCTTTGATATGGGATTCTACTTGTGTGGACACGTTAGCCCCGTCTCACCTCGGAGAAGCAAATAAGCTGGCGCAGCCGCAGAGCAGGCTCAAATATGAGAGAGTAGAGACTCTTGGGCTTTAGGGTTCAAGTGCACAGGTGCTATTTAAAGATTTAGGTTGGCGCCTGGTAGATAGTACCGGTGACGCCAGAGATGTTATCGCAATACAGCGAGGAAATGCTGCCAGCGTTAAAGGTAAACTGCCATAGGGAACAAACTTATTAAATTTGTTTTAATTTCATATTAATAAATTTTTACTTTTTTATTTTTTTTTGGAAATAAATGTTATTTATTATTAAATGGGGTGCTTTAAATTTTTTTTTAAATTAGATCTACAACTTATATTATTAAAATAGATTGAGTATTATTTATGGACTGTCGTAAAGCAGTAGTACCGGTACTGCCAGCAGCAGCTTTGCAGTTGTTGTTGGGATTGAATAACGACAAAGAAAAATGTGAAAATGTTGGAAATGTATAATTTAGGAAACCAGGTGAAAGCACTGGTAAATCAACGAAATGATGACCTTGCAAATATTCTAAGACTTTTATAGAATACAAAAATATAATGAAACGTTTAAAAGCTTTTAAACTTATTTTGGCATGACTAGTCCTCTATTTTCGTCTCAAACTGAGACAGAATTCTGTTCAAAGTAATTGCGATCGATTGAGCGTTTTGCCGCTTATAGAATTCCCAGTTCAGGAATCTTCGAGTAACCAGAATTTCAACTCCCAAAATATACAAGAATTTATTAATTTCTATAAATATATAACGGCATTCCTGGATGTTATTTAAAACTTTTATTGAAGTGATTTTTTCGCAGTTTCAGCTAGGTGTAATCCTAACTTAATAGATAAATATCACTAACGTATGTAAGTAAGTAAAGAAATAGAAACGTGGGAAGACCACAAAAGCGATGGGCTGACGACATAGTCAAGGTCGGGGTAAGGGAAGCTAAGAACAGATCCAAACGGAAATGTCAGGCCTTTACCCAAAAGGGACGTATACTACAGAAAAGAGAAAATAAAAGAATCGGAAATTACAATAACTAACGTAGATTAACAAAACTAACACCCATTTGATATTCAGTTTTTAACAATATGGAATTAAAGTGGCTTTATTATTATTAACGGAAGTACCTTCGTTCTGGAGAAATATACGTAATAAGAACATTAATATATGAATGTGCTCAAAAAGCGCGGTTCGTAAATGAAATCGATTATAATGAGTCTCTACTACTCTGGGAAAGTAAATGGTGAATGACTTAAGAACACTTTCAAATTGACTCTATTATATAGAAAGCTTTTATTTGTAAAACTGGCCTCTATTTGAGCTTCCTTCGTACTAAAAATATTGGAATAATTGAAGAAGTGTACGAGCCAAGGCTGTACATTTTGCTCACTCAGGCTTACTTAGTTTTATAAGCGTGGCGATTTCTTAAATCGTCGGAATTACGCCCCGAGAGTATAGCCAGACGCAGGCACTTTCTTCAACTGTTACATTGCATTCATTCGTTACATAACAATTAACATTCCATTGTTTCGCTTATATTCCATTGTTGTACGCGAGTGGTTAATATAGATTAAAACTAAAATCCTCTATTATTTAAAACACCCCGATGACCCAGGAACCGTACAAGAAGAATACGTGAGAGCCAGTTCATTTACAATTGATATTAAATCATGATATAGAAGTGTTCAATAAATGGTTATAAATTCTCTTTGGAAAATAATACTGGCAGGTAGATATAATAATAATTAAAAGGTAATTACATAATTTGTTTTTTATAAATAGATGTCATTTGTTTTGCGTCGAGTCGGAACGTGTTCTTGAAAATGGATAAAATTTAAATTTGCGCGGTAATAAATAACAATGCTTGAATTTTACTACGGTGCTGGTAAATCAAGACTTGAAAGTAACATGGGTTAATGCTCCTCCCATTTCTATGGTTGCCTATGGTGTGCGAGGAAGAACTTAATTTCACAAATCTGTTCCGGTTACAACAGGATCTTGGTTTTAGGCTCGATTCATAACTACGGAAGAAACATGGCTTTACCACCACCATTACGATCCGGAAACGTAAAAACAGTCCATTAATTGGAAGACACCGTCATCTCCAACTCCAAAGAAATTTACCATTTGCCGGTATTAGATCATGGACTTTTCTATGAGACAACCAAGGCTGGTAATTATAGAATATCTTATTCATGCAGCCACCATTACGGAGATCATGTACGCAGGACAAATAAGGAAATAAGGTGGCTTCGAATTGTTGGAACATCGTCCATTTTCACTCTAGCTCCTAGTGATTGCTACCTATTTCCGCGGTTAAAGGAACATCTCAGGGGCTATTAATTTGAATATGATTGATAATATAAAGAGATCAGGAAGATCTTTTTAAAAGGAGAATTCTAGCTTCGAAGCTACATTTAATAAAAGAAAATTTATTGAACTGCACAAGTAGAATAGTTTGCGATAAATATACTCAATTCCTCTCGCTCTTAATAGGTAAAAGTCACATGACACTTCTCTGAAAACAGCGTCCTATAAGCCGTATACAATGTGTTTAATTTCCGGTTGTCTAGCTCGATACAGTTTTATAATCGAATTTATAGTTACGTGGGTCTACACTGCGCAGCTTTTCTAAGTCTGTTGGGCATTCAACGTGAACTAAATCCTTTTTAAAACTTACTCATTCAAAAAAGCGTAAACAAAAATGCTTTCTTACCAGCGACTTGCTGAAAAGCCTCCTTCCCATGTTCGTCTCTTTTTAACCAACAGAACGCCCACCGGAACCTTCTGGACCAGAGACCCGTGACCTTCCTGTGATGCCGGGCCTGGTTCGGCGTGTCCAGCATCTCATCATAGTTCACTGACCCCAGCGGGTCGAAGACCATGAACAACCCGAATATTGTGAGTGCTAATTGCACCCAGTTGAATAATACTATACCTAGAAAAATACATAAAATTACAACAGACTAAAAGTAAGTTTCAACTTAGCGCTGAGCATGACTCCCGTATGTCTTAAATGTATCGGATTTGACTTTCGAAAGTCTTACTTAGTGCCGAGTTTTGACTGAATGATACGTTAGGGGTATAAGTTCGTTTCGTGACATTTAACTCAAAAAAAAACTATTTAGTAAAGATGTTGCAGTATTCATTGGTCCAGGGTTGACTTCCGAGGAAATAACAACATTCGGAATAACATGTTTCTGAATAAAAATTTCACACAATGTCCCAACAGAAAATTAATACCAGTTATCACTTAGCAAATAGAAACTCGTGTTAACTGATTCACACAAGCATGGCTTACTTTGTACAACAATACTGGAGAATTTGTCCGTTACGTCACACTCGATGACGTCACAGTACATCCACATAGTACCCATCACGTTTAACGCCACTTCAGGTAGCACTAGAAATACTCTGAAAGAAAAATACAAAATTCATCATTCCATAACGCTGGCCATAGACGGACCGCATTTTGCAGTCGATACCGACTGCTCTAAGCGGTCGCCGCACGGCGAACTGCAATTTCCATACTAAATTCATATCCGCCATACACGGTCCGCACGACAAGTTTCTGAGCGGTCGGAGCAGTCGCTCTGCGGTCGAGTTTCGCCGTGCAGCAGTCGACCGCTTAGAGCTGCCGGACCCACCATACACGGACTGCTACAAGCGGTTGCTGCCGACCGCGCGCCACTCCCTCAAATAAAATAAAATACTAACTAATTCATCAAATGAAACCACGGACATTTTAAAGTAGTTGAAAAACTTTTTAGTGTCTTCTCTCATTTGGGGATACAAAATATTAAATATTCCATGCTGTTCTCTTGGTTGTAGTATTGGACGCATCCACATGCTAAGGTGTCTTCTACGCCTACGGTTGCGTAATAGTAGTACAAGAAACAGTGTTTCTTCATCGAAATCCATCTTATAAATGAACTCGCATCAGTTTTATTTTGAGGTCGAACACAACTGCTCTAAGCAGTCTAGTCGACTGCATTATGCGGTCGTGTTGCAGTCGTGTACGACTTCAACGCGAACGCTCTAGAGCAGTCGGTCTCGACTGCAACATGCGGTCCGTCTATGGCCCGCTTTAGACTCTCAATCAACTAAGTGTTACTAAACTGATTTAAAAAAATCTCTCTATTTATGTTATAAACAATTTGAAGAGATCAGGCATCACATAAATCAGTGCAATTAATCTGATTTAGTTTTTATGAATAAGGTTCATAAAAACTAAACGCGCCCGTATAAAAGCAAGACACTCGGCTATATTATCCCACAAACTTACTACTTTATATAATAATATTTTAGTTTTTGATAAGTATTGGGATCTCATAATCAATTTGTTAAAAATAGAAGTCGTTTGTTTATCGTCGGAAAGTGTTCTTGAAAATGGATAAAATTATAAGTTCGCGCTCTGTTTGTTTAATGTTTTCGTTTCGTTTTTGTAGTAATTGTATTTTTGAAACTATTTATTTTATAAGGATTTTAAAATTTGAATGTTGAGTAGCCCTTCAGGCACCAAGGTTAAACCCAAATTATAGTTAGTTAGGTTAAACAAGGTTTATCTTATATTTAAAAAAAAACAATTTTCTTCCCCAAGACAATTTCTATCTCGTTGATTAAGGCAAGCGGTTACCCAGCCTAGTTTCTACTAACGACGAGGTATTCGCCAGACATCGAATCCTCAATTACGAGCACGAACGTACGTAAATACTAAGCCATAGAGAGTTATTTTTGAAGATATACTTCTTTTGGCGCGTTAGGGAAAAATGATGAAACTAAATTTTTACGATGCACACACCGTCACAAAAACTGACACCCTGAATATATTATGTTCAAACGTCGGAAAAACAGTCTGGGCCGCTAGTTGGCGCTTGCTCTGTTTTATCGACATGTTGCATTGTCTGTCATGGCGTAGTATTTTCCAGAGTCGTGTTTATTTAAACCAAAATAATGATTTCTATACGAGAAAACCCGTTCCAATGTGATAAAAAACGTAGTGTTTATTGTAAAATAACATGATTAGTACATATTATATCGTTTCGATTGGAAGTGACCATTAAAATGGACAAGAAAAATACAATTCGAAGTGGGAAACGTCCCTCTAAAATGCGTGAAGAAAATTAAACGCCAAAGAAGTATAACTTCTAACGCGTGTACATAAGTACACACACGTTTTTTCTATAGTTCTGATCTACGGAAACTAAAACAAAACGATTAAAATGATAAATACTAAAAAAATTACATTATTCTTGTAAGTGACAAGCAAACGAATATCACGTTACATCAATTTATTGCATAAACGATCAATTAGGGACACGGTATCATATTCCATTTCCTTTTTCAGTATCCAATAAAATACAAATGACAATCGGACACCTTTAGGAACCATGACTATTACTGTTTTATGATGATTTTGATTTTGCGTGACATATAATATATACCATTCCCCAATAAAAAATAATCCAGCATAAAGAATTTTTCAATTACTTTAGTTTCTAGATCGAGGAGAGAACGCGTTCAACCAAACAATCTGAGGGAAGCTCTCAAAAGGCCATAAATTGTTCCGGATTTTCCAATAATTTTCATGAAAGCTCCGATTTTATTGATTTTAGCGGGGTTTTAAATATTTTGGTACTTTAAAGTCAGTTCCGTTTTTCGTCTCTTTCTGTCTTATTGTGTTTAAGCCGTAATGACATAATTTTTTTCACAGATATATATTTAGACTCACATAGATATATATCACATTTAATTATAAATAAGAATGTAAATTATACACATATACTTCAACATATACTGTATATTAATTAGGTACTTAAAATTCTTGTCTGAGTAGATAGTATCATGTAACACAATGATTATTATACTTTAATTACATGCTCTAATGGCGAGTACAAAATAGTATCTGCATTTTGCTGTCTTTGCAAAAAACTAAAGAATTTTTAAATTATCTACTGGATACTATATAGTGGGGTATTTTCATGTACTGAAACGAATGTAGGTACCAAGGCTTGAGATCGAAAAGCGGAATTTTGCGCCAGGTATGACAAAGTAAATTTGTATGAGATTTTTTTATTTTCTTATATAACAGGGCGCAAACGGACAAGAGTCTAACCTGATGTTAAGTTATACCGCCCATGGATGGGCAATGGAATATTGACTTGCAAAATTCCTTTATGAAATGAACATTGTCTTGGACCAACGGTGGTGACAAATTTATATTAATTTTAAAATAAAATATGTTTAATGTATAATTATTACATAGCTGTGCTTTTCAGAAATAGTGGTAAGCGTGATAAAAAGGTTTTATATCAAGTCAATGCAAAGACTTCTATATTAACTTACTTACTTAAGTAATAATAAAGGTGACACCAGCTTTCGCGCGTCGGTGTCTGTGATGGTGCCTTTTGCGGACTGCTGGGCCAGGGCCGAGAGGAGCAGCATGAGACTGGCTTGTAACGCCAGATTCCCGCAAAGATAGAGCCTCACAAACGCTCCACCCGTCCAGCCCTCGGTCTGACACTGCCATGTCACTGGATACAGTACTTCCACTACTAAAGCGATGAGTACCAACCTGTTTGGACATCGTAAAAACAATTACAAATATTAAAACTTGCTTGGTGTTATAACATTTTATAATAAAAGAAAGGTATAACGAAAAAGAGGAAGACAACTTAGACGGTAGATAGGCCAAATTAAGGAAACAGCAGGTGGTAGATGGCCGAGGGCGGCACAGTGCAGACATAAATGGTGGGATTTGGAGGAGGCCTTAGCCATAAAAGGGCACACAGACACCTAAAAGAAGAAGATAGAAATACAAATGTGTTTAAGTGTAAAAGTTTCTGAAAAGGCTATTATTATTATAACATTTTAAATCTAAGCCTCAAGTTTTAGCCTATTCCTTATGTGATAAATGATAAGCCTGGTGCCTGACCACACAACGTCGATTTTGGGTGTAAGATATTCCGCTTTTGTTACGATGTTAATCTTCACTGCTTGATTAATTATACACAGAAATAATTAATGGTGTACAGCAGGGGATCAAATTCGGGGATAGGGATTAGTCTCGGAAGGTTGAATGTTTACGTTATGAATTAAGATGGTAGTTTCAAGTAATCTTCAGTTGTTTGACAAAATGTTTTCAGAAATACTGAATGCAAAAGCAATTGGATACGAGAATTTCGAAATTAATTTTTATAACACCGACGCATATTAAAATAGATATTCCTATAAATGTCGCCCATGATGATAGTAACGTGCTATCTTTACCTCAATGTCATGAATATTGAGTTATTTATACATTGTATCATGTAATAACCACCGTTATATATTCGCAATCATAAAACCACACGGTCGCTTGAGAATTTGAAGACTGATCACCTACTTGCCTATTAGATTGACAAATGATCATGAAACCGATACAGAAATCTGAGGCTCAGACCTAAAAAGGTTGTAACGCCACTGATTTATTTTTAGAAAAATATAGATAGAAGCCGATTCTCGACTTAATGAATAGGCATAAAAAAACATAAGAATCGGTCAAGCGGTTTCGGAGAAGTATGGGAATGTGAGAAAGGAGAAGTTTTATATCTATATATATATATATATATATCTATCTCATCTCTATATATATAGAGATGTCAATAGGCTATATGACAGCATGAAATATAAAGTGCAAGGGTTAATATTGATATAAAATATAATATATTAAAATATTATATTTTATATCAATATTTATAATATTAGGTACATATTTAATATTCATAAATATGTATTTAAATATCTATACTTAATAAGAATTAAATATTACAAATTGTATACGTTCTCTCAACTAATGAAGAATATCAAATGGTATTAAAATCTTCTCAAATAACATATTATTTTAGTTTCTTTATTTAGATCATTGCAATGTCTGTTTTGTGTCTTGTAGTATTTTCAATGGGATTGCAAGTCCGACTCAATATAATTAATGTAAGCACATTTACAATGTTTGGTTGGCGTATGTATTAAAATATGTATTTGTAAAATATCTCTTATTCCTGACATCGTAAGTTCGACTGTGCACTAATGTACTTTTCTTTCTATTTTTTACAATTGCTTTTTGAAACGTAACGACTTAAAACGTCGACGACAGATGGGAGTTCTAACACCATGACCAAGGGTTGTAGCCCCCCTGTTTTTTTGGTATAAGATTTTGAAATCGTAACATGTATCAAACTATATCACTAGGTCGAATGCTTTACACATAGTTATTTAAGTCAGACTCGATCAGAATTTGAAGGTTTTGTGTATGTTCTTTAAAATAACCGGACGCTAACGCGCTTCGGCCAATTGTGTACAATTGAATAATTTCCCTTGGTCAGCGTAGAGTGACTACGAAATTTATTTATTTATTTATTACAGAAATAAAATAACCAGGAGATTAAAAGTTCACAGTTTTTGTCTATTAATAATATGAGTGTTAATTTACTTTATAATAAAAAAATTAACAAAAACCTTTACAATATACAATTTTGATCTAGTGCCGATTTGTTTTGGCCTAGTGGTTGTCGACGGCGACTCTCATCGTCGTAGGTTCGAATCACGACACCAATGAACTTCCTGTCTATGTGCTCCTACGATGAAATAAAATCGTGAGGAAACTAGCATGCCTAAGACCCAAAAAGCCGACGCCAGGCACCTATTAGAAAAAACAAATAATAACGAAACTGATACAGAAAGCTAAAAGGTTGTGGCAGCACTGGTTTCTCTGTACTCTATTTCATAATAGCTCTACGTTCCATTCGAACCGCTGATCGAAGCCAATAAAACCAAGTGATGACAATTTAGAATACATTATGAAGCAATCAAAATTGAGAAAGGTCATGACCGAATTGTAATGTGAAAGTTAACATTTCTATTAATAGCTGTGTTTATTTTTAGATAGCTTTTAATAATCTGTGCGTCGCGTGATATATGATATCGTGTATATTAAACTCAAACTCAAAATATCTTTATTCAAGTAGGTAACCAAGTACACTTTTGAATCGTCAAGTTAAATTAATCGTAAATTTACATTTACTACCAGTTCGCAAGTCAAGGGCGTAGAGCGGGTAAGAAGAACTGGCAAGAAACTTTCCGCCACTCTTTTTAATCGCCAAGTATTGTCATACAAATTGTTTGAACTGGAGCAATTCAATCCCAAGGATTAGGATCATTTAAGTAGTCCTCAAATTTATAAAAAGCTTTGTTGATTAATTTTCGTTTAACGAGGGCTTTGAATTTATTTAGTGATAATTCTCTAATTTCGCTTGGGAGCTTGTTGTAAAAACGAATACAATTTCCATATAAGGAGTGGTTTATCTTTTGGAGCCTGGTTGGTCGTACACTCAAATTAGTTCTATTTCGCGTATTATACTGGTGAAAGTCACCATTTGTTTTGAAATCGTTTATATTTTTTTGGACATACAACAAGGCTTCAAGAATATATTGACCAGATAGTGTCATAATATTTAATTCCTTAAACTTATTCCGTACCGACTCCCTCGGAGAAACACAACAAATACCCCGAACAGCCCGCTTCTGCAGCACAAATATGGATTGAACCTCTGCAGCAGCACCCCACAGTAAAATGCCGTACGACATAACGCTATGAAAGTAGCTATGGTACACAATTTTAGCCGTGTCCTCATCAGTAAACTGTCGGATTTTCTTTACTGCATATGCTGCAGAGCTCAGCCTATTCGAAAGAGTCTCTACTCTCTATGTGTGGGCCCCATTGGAGTTTACTATCTATTGTTATGCCTAGAAAAACAGTTTTGTCAACAAAGTTTAGTTCACTGTCCTTAATTTTCAGGTTACCAATATCTCGCTTTACGCTAGTAGTTGTAAATCTAATACATTTTGTTTTATTCTCATTAAGCAATAAGTTATTTACATTAAACCAGTTAACTATACGAGAGATAGAATTGTTTACATCGTCCAATAATACGTTATTCCTATTCACTTTAAATAGAAGTGAAGTGTCATCAGCAAACAATACCATCTCATGAACTTCGTTGACAAAGAATGGGAGGTCATTTATGTAAATCAGAAATAAGAAAGGCCCGAGAATCGATCCTTGGGGGACGCCCATTGATACCTGCGAACCCGGAGAGGTGACTCCATTGACATGAACTCTTTGGATCCTTCCCTTTAAATATGAATTCATCAGGCTGGAAGCTTTGCCATCAACGCCATAGTGTTGAAGCTTTCCAACGAGAATATCAGGATGAACACAGTCAAAGGCCTTTGACAGGTCACAAAAGACGCCGACTCCATCATATGATTCTTCCCAGGCGTTAAATATGTCCGAAATCAACTTCACACCGGCATCGATTGTGGAGCGACCCTTAGTGAAACCATACTGTTTATTATGTAAGAGTTTATTTTTATTAAAATGTAAAGAAAGCTGGTCTAGCATTATCTTTTCAAAAACTTTGCTCAACGCAGGGAGCACGGAAACAGGTCTGAAGTTTGACGGATCAGACTCACTACCGGCCTTGAACAACGGTGTAATCTTACTCAATTTCATTTCGTCCGGAAAGACTCCACAATCGATACATCTGTTAAAAATTATAGACAATTCAGAGCTTATTACATTAATAACGGAATTTAAAATGACTGTTGACATACCCCATATATCTTTACTTTTTTTTAAATTAATAAGCTTAAAAGTTTTAACGATATCATTACAAGTTATATGTTTAAACTGAAATTTAATATTACATTCAGGTACACATTTTTCTAGCAATGAGATCGCAGCAGCAGGTGAAGAATCTAGGGACTTGGTCGTATTTAGTGGTACATTTGTAAAGAACTCTTCAAAAGAAGAAGCTACCTCTGGGTCAGATTTTATTAACTTCCCTTTAACTTTTAACATATAATCAGTTCGTTTGTCAGACGTTTTACCTGATTCTTCATTTATTATTTTCCAGGTAGCTTTTACTTTATCCATGCTATTTTTTATTTTTGAACTTAAATATTGAGACTTTGCAGTTTTGCAATCTTTTTTGAAATTATTTGAATACAACCTAACATATTCCCTAAATTCCACACTAGTGTTATATTGCATTTCGTCATAGATTTCATATAATTTTAACCTTTTCCTGTGTAACTCCTCATTTGCCCAGTCACAGAAACTTGTTTTCTCAGAGACCAATAAAGTATTTTGAGTAAATACTTTCTTGAATTCATCAATAAATGATCCAAAAAAGTATTGTATAAATTATTAGGGGATGAGTTGCCACACAGAAATGGCATTCTATAGACCAATGCTTCTCTAAATCTGTGCAAACGGTCATTTGTAATAGGAGTTATCACAATTTTCTTCTTTTACATGTTTTTTGTTTACTCCTTAATTGGAAATTCAAACCATTGACCAGTGTGATCAGATTTAAATCTTTTTTTTTTTTTTTTTTTTTTTTTTTTTTTTTTTTGTTTTTTGTTTTTTTTTTTTTTTTTATTGAAAATACAAACATTCAAAGGGGCTATGTCACTATATATATTATCTATACAAGTTGCGGTGCTAGCTGTTATTCTTGTGGGTGAATGAAATTGATTTATTAAATTGTATGAACGAAAAAGACTAAGTATGCGTACACTTGAATTAGAATGACAAAGTAAATTGACATTAAAGTCCCCACACACAATTAGCCCTTTATTACACTTTACTAATTTACACAATATCTCCTCTAATACATTTTCAACATTATTATAGACAGCTGATGGAGGACAATATAGACATACAACAATGAATTGCTCCAGTTCCACACAGGAGATTTCAATAGTTAGTTCTACAGAGAGGCTGATAATATCCTTTCTTTCTTTGCATTTAAGTTTTTTACTTATTAGGATTAATGAGCCACCATGAATTGCATTTTCTCTGCAAAACACACTACCAACCCTGTGGTTACAAAAATTAAACAAAACTTCATATTTTTTTAACCAGTGCTCTGTTATGCACAAATAGTCTATTTTTTTACTATTCAAGAATAGTTCAATTTCTAATTCTTTATTTTTCATCCCCTGTATATTTTGATGAACCACAATAATTTTTTGGGAATGAATTTTATCACATAATATACTTACCTTATTATTGCAAGAGTGGTGCTCTGTTGTCCTATTATCTAATTTAAATAAATATTATTTGGAATTTCTTCCAAGGTCTTATAATCTAATGCTTGCTCAATAGAAGCAAGGGGTCTAGCCAAATTCTTGGCTGTCATCTCTATAAAATATGATAGCGAAACAGCTATCTGTCTTTTTAAGAAAGCAGGTAGGTAATAATATCTACCCTTTGTAATAAAAAACTTTTTCGTATACCTATTGGTATCTATGACACAAAATTTATCATTATACATTGCCAATGTATGCAATGTTTGATTAAGAATTATACACTCACCTCGGGTGACCTAAAGCGCAATACACATTGAGCCCGCCGGGCCGCCGACATATGTTGGCAATATTTTGTCGGCGGTCTAGTTGGCGGCTTCACTTATTACAAGTCGGAAAATTTGGTCGGCGGCATGTCGGCGGCTTGATATGAGTATGATGTTGGCGTACCCAAGCCGCCAACATGTCGGCGGGTAACACGCGCAGGCGCATGTTGCCGACATGATTCTTTTCATACAGGCCGCCGGGTTGTGTCGACGGGCTCAGTGTGTACTGCGCTTTACCATGAACTTTATCATAATTTACATTTACATTTTAATTTGTATAGTTCTATTCGGACTATGTGTGGTCATGCTTCCGTTACGCTGGACTTCTTACATTTTACATTATAAAAAATCCCTATTTCCTAAAGGTATTGGTTAGAGTGCCCGGAGGAATGCAAGAGCGACCCGGAGCCTCTGTAACGCGGCCTAACTTCTCTTATTTTTAAAACCAAAAAATAAAAAGTTTATTTCGAAAGAAAGTGTACATTCAGATTAATAATAATAATAATAAAAACAGGCATGCAAATGTCATATTAATAATCATATGTCATAATAATAAGAACAGTGAAGTTATTTATAATTCCTTTAAAGACAAACTTGCGCGCCATTGTGTGTGGCAGAATATGCGATCTTACGATTGTACCACCTTACATATTTTTGTACCATATTCTTACATTAATAAATTATTATTATTATTGTTGTTGTTGTCAATTTGTCAATGTGTGTATTTGTTGTCAAAAATGATAGTCTAACTCTAAATGTTCTCCCTATATAAGCACCTTGCCTTTAAAAATTTAATCACCTTCCCATTAAAAGTATTACACGGCAGTGATCTATAACTTCTGGGAAGGTGATTAAATAGTTTAATAGTCGTGAGGTAACAATTTTAAAAATACATGGTGGTGCAACATTCAGGCACCCAGTTGTTAGTGGGTATTGCTCACCCAGTCTCAGAATACCAGAGATTATGGCGTGGGTCGAGTTCCACATACCACTAGCAACCTTTGATTTAAATACAAGTTTAGGCCCACTTGGCCAAAGCACTTGGCATTAAATGTGGACCAACAGATGCTCCCTACAATAAGCTATAATGACTTTATTGGACATTAATAAACTTTTATTGTTTATTGAGATTTTAATATGCTTCGGGGCGCCGTTAACCTCAACTTCGAATGGAGCCTTTGAATTTAATTTGAGCTTTTGTGAGTCAAATTGTTATAAATGGTTATTGACTTTGATTTTAAACCGAAAAAGGGTTTAAAGAATAATGATATTCCTATTCAAAATCTATTCGCAACAAATCATACACGTGTTAATATAACTCGTTATTATTATGGCACTTCAAGGCTTTGATTGGCTTTTAGTTTCTCATTAGCCTAACTCCTTTGATTATTTCAACACCTTTCAAGATTGACAATTTGACAGATATCTAAAAGCTTGTAAATTAAGCAACTACTTTATACATGTGTTCCGTCCATAAGACGTCTCCGTTTTACTGTTCAGCCAATACAAATACATATTATAAAATTACTTATGTTTTTTTTCATAGAACAGGGGGCAAACGGGCTACCTGATGTTAAGTGATACCGCCGCCCATGGACACTCAATCCCAGAGGCCTCGCGAGTGCGTTGCCACCCGTTTAAACCCGGTTTTTTATGTTAACCTTTATTAATCAAAAAGGGGTTTAGGGGTGATAATATCATACGAACTCAAGACGAAGTTTTTAAGAGTTGGACATAATGTTCTAGATATATTTAAAAAGTAAGAGAGAGTTGTAAATCATAACATAATTTTAATTAATCATATTAATCACATCACCACTTAACTATATGAAATAACTAAAAAATAAATAATAACTAAATGAAAACAGACTAACCGGACAACCAAACAACGGATTTCTATGTGTGAAAACTGATACAGTTTCGGAAAACATCGTGATAATACCCAATCCGTAAATTGAGTACGTGCGTCAGACACAGTCGGCCTCAAGAAACGGCATAATTATAAGCATCTAAACTGAACACAACAACTCGTTTAGAAAGGGCAATTAAACATTAACCGTAATACAATTTGCGGTATACCAGTTATTACGCTCTATTGGTCATATTAACACAATATGAATATGATACAAGACCTTGTAATGTTTTCCGTAACTTAATACTTAGAATCTACTTAGAGGGCAAAAGATCAACTAAGTATAAATGTGCTAATTTCATTTAATTGTTAAACTGCGTGACTTAAAATTTATTATGGTTTTGCAAGGATGCTTCCCCGGGCCATTTATTTTACTTGACTTTGAAAGTGATAGTTACATACAGTTAGTTAGTTTTATCCTAAAATAGTTTAGATATGTGTTTCACCTGATGGTGTACTGAAAGTCACAGTAGAATACACTACAATAGAACATACAAAAGTTGTTTTAAAATAATTCATTAATTTCCGAAGATTTAATGATAAACATATTGTATTTAAGTTTGAACAAAATTTCACAACGACCATTTATGAAGTGCACGGGTTATAACCGTGTGAAACCACGTGAAATAACAAGTATATAAAGACCAAAACAAACTTACCAAACGAATCGAAATAGAAGTTCGAATATACTTGGGAATACGAGATCATCTGAGGCTGCCAGCCATTTTCGCCCCAAAAGCCGGAGCGCCGGCATTCTGAAACAAAAAGTTACGTAAATAAACTCGTACAAATTGTTACGGATTAGTTAAGTTTTCGTATACGATATCGTAAGACTTTCGTCGATTATATTTTACGTCAATCGTTAATTATATTTTTCGAACTAAGCTAATTTTGATTTTATTATATAGGAAATATTATAAATAGATAATTATTAATCAATTTCACAGCTTAGGGTTGGATGTTTGGTAAATTAAAAAGCTCTATCAACCAAGATCGGATCGCTACTGAAATCAGCTTCCAACCTGCAACTTTCATGGTAAATAAATTAAACATACAAAAGGCCAGAGCCTTTAGATGCGTAGGACTTTTCTTCACCTTAAAACTTCCTCAAGAATTCATAATGATAAAGTCAAAGTCAAATCATTTATTTCAATTAGGCCTATTAAAATGGCACTTTTGAAAGTCGAAATTACAAGTTAAAAAAAATGTCTAGTTGCCCCTTAAAAAGGTAGCTTCATATGGAGAAGAATTGGCAAGAAACTCCATACTTAATAGTTTTTACAATACTTTGTATAAATTGATTTGATAATTATATGTGGAGACCATGTACCCAGGACAAAAAAAACTACTAGTATACTTAAATAAAATAGGCGCATGGTGTTAAAAGAAACGATGCAGCAGATAACTAAATTATTATGTTATACATGGTTCTCACATATTTATACAAATATTGCAACTATAAATTTTACATTATTATTTATAAAACTTAATTAACATACAGTTGAACAGTGTTTGAGCTACGTCAACGTTGATCTCTTTTAAAAAAATATATAAATATAAACCTATATATATATATATAACTAGATTTGCAACCGATTTTGTCTAATTTGATTGTCCCTTGAAGGAGGACCAGCATGTTTCCAAGCTAGATAATGTTATAATATAACATTGAATAAAACCTGCCAATAAAAGCTGAAACGCAGTTTCGTTCATAACAAACAAAGCGTGCATCTGTTTTGACTTACACCCGGCCTATATCTGGATGAACTACTTTCCCGCGCACTGAACCCAGGTCGAATATTTCTGGAAAATGCGTTAAATATTTGTGGCCTTATTATTGTGGCAATAATGTCAGTTGTAAATTACGTTTTCATGATTTCGTGGTTTGATACAATTCAGGTCACTTCGACGATTAGCAGCCAAATACTGTAACTGCCTTTTAAATAATTCTTAATCTAGTTTCAAAAATATTATACATCAAAATGCTTTGAACTTTTACAATTATGAATTTACTGTGATAATTAAACTAAAAATAAATAAATCAGACCTTTATAGGTCTGGGCCGCAGATTTTTGTATCTGTTTCATGATCAATCAGTCACTGATGAACAGACACCGTCGACTTTTTTGGGTTTAAGGCAAGCCGGTTTCCTCCTATGTTTTCCTTCAAAGTTCGAGCGATAGCCGGGGATCGAACCTACGACCTCAGGATGAGAGTCGCACGCTGAAGCCGCTAGGCAAACACTGCTCTCAATGATAATTTACCGCAATTATTAAAATAAATCTTAGCTAAATCAAGTCAACAGAGGTCCAAATATAATAAATACCGAACTCTAGAGACAATTCGTGCAAACTTATGTATATATAGATTGGTAGGAATTTAACAGTCTTTAATTTACATTCCTTGTAAATAATATTGTGAGCCCAACTCTTCAAGGTACACAGCACAGTAAATACATATTCGATATTATAATGGACAAGAGAATATTCAAGTGCCTTCTTTTTCACCCTCATAAGAGACGGAAGTCCGACCTAGAATATCGCGATATCACAGGACCCCTGTGCACGATACCCGTGCGTCGCCGGCCTCTTAAGAATTACGATACCCTTATAATATAGCCTTGTACCCTTACCCTATCTGGCTGTCACTCTATTACTTCCTGTTAAGTCAGAATTTTCCATCATGAGATGAGAGTATAATAAAAATACTTAATCAGTTCGGTATCCTCCGTCGCACACACACATTTAAAATAAAATAAATAAAAATGTGTTTATTCATTTGCAACAATTCATTATAATGTGTAAGATTTGAAAACCCCTTGTAGTAGTAGCTAGTGTTCTCAGCTTTTCCATGACAAACTTAATGGTGACGTCCATTTTTTTTTTAAATAATACTTTTTTAAAGATACTTCTTTTGGCGCGTTAGGGAAAAATGATGAGAGTAAATTTTTACGATGCGCACACCGTCACAAAAAGCCGACACCCTGAAGTTAGCTATAATCAACATTTTAGTTTTTTTCTATAGTTAGTGTAGTTTTTTCTACTAACGTAGAATAATTTTTTTTTAAAGATTTTATCTTGTTGAGCCAAAGAAAACTATTAACACGTGTACATAAGTACATACACGTTTTTCTTTGTTTGTTTCCAAAACTAAATGCGCGAGTGAATGTATGAGTAAGTGCATGTGAGTGACATGTGGTTTATCTTCTAATATTTTGATCTTAATTACTTTTTTTCTTATTTTTAAACCCCAATCACAGGGTCAATCCTAGCAGTGCGCTGTTGTTTTGAAAGTGATAATGCAGTGCAGTAACATGTGTAACAACTAATATAATCGTTGAGACAGTTAAGTTCTCGGTTCGAACGTAATCTGGTTAATTTTCTATTATGCACGTCAGAACCGAGACAGGCTTGCATCATACCTTGCATTATTCAATTAGAACAAAAATAGACTTTAATTTAATTATGCAACAAGCGCGCGCAGCTTGCGTGGATTTCATTTATTTTGGAAAGACTTTTTGTTTAAAACCATAATAAATGAGGAATCATAAAAATGTGTAGTTTTTAAGTTTATCGTGTTTATAGACGCAGCTGGAGACATTTTATGACATGTGACAAGGAAGTAAAATTCTGCAACGAAGGATTTTTTATCTTTGCCGTAAGAACAATAGAGCAAGGGCAGACATTCGTGTGGCAGTATATTTTTATACGTACCTCAAAAGCCACAATTATTTCAGAGGGAGAGTTTCATCATCGGACGTCGAGGTAGAATACGAAATTCCATCCGTATCCCCTCGACGTCCGTCGTTCCACAACTGAGCGTTTTTTAAGGCAGTTTTTGCCGCACATCACTATATGGCACCTGGCACTGAAGTATTTCCGAACCAATTCAAGTTGGGGTCCTTCAAGAAAAGCGTACCAATTCTTAAAAAGCCGGCAACGCACTCGCAAGCCCTGCCGTGGAAATTTCTGGATTCTATAAAAGAAGAAGGGACTGACGTTTTCAGTTTTGCCAAGTCTTTTTTTAACCAGTAATTTTTCTCCTTGAATAAATTTCGACTCTGGTCAACTGAGGCACGGAGACCTACCATATTTCTATGTATATAGCATCTCATAGATTGATACGAACGGAAATTGCGTCTATTGTTTTATTTTCCAACCACCTTTTTTCATTACATCTACCGAGAATTCCAACAAGGCTGTGGGTGCCTAAAAGTTGCAGTGATATACGATGTATTAAAAAATAATGCCATGGCTATCAAACTATTTAATCACCTACCTAGTAGTTACAGATCACTGCCGTGTCTCAAGCAAGTATTTAGATTTTAGACCGTAACTTTTTACAGAAACTGATTGTGCTGTTTTTGTTATAAATATGCAAATAAACGATTTATTATTATAACAATGAAAGACGATTTTAATCAAAGTGGATTAATTTCGTTACTATTTATTTATTTATAAGTTCTAAAACAATGTGTACGCATACAAGAAATTTTACACACATACAAATACACATCAATATTAGACCATAAGCAAGCTAGCAAGGGAAAAATTATAAATGAGAGATAAGATTTTAATACTATAAATCCTCTTATGTCGTTTCGACTTTCTAACCAGCGCGTATCAATCATTGTAGGGTCATATTAATATTCCAAGTGGATTTAGTTCAAGAGTGTTTTTCGAGTTTTATTCCGTTTTTCATCTGTCAATGACACTTAACATAATCGATTTTCTTTGGCCTTCAACTTAGCAACTTAGTTTTATGTATATAAAACGACACTTTGGACGTATTTATTATTTAACATAAGCTACCATTACAGATTACTCCAATGCGGTAACTACATGTAAATCACATACAAAACAAAACAAACACAACAATAAACAGTAATTAGTTAAATTATTTACAAAAAGTCTAACTATTTCTTACAGTATAGGAACTGACATGAAGCAAACCTTTTGTCAGTTCACTCAACGGACAATTAAAAACGTCCGTTAATCTTTGCAGTACATTAATTATTTCCATACATTTTGTCATGTTTTTTGGAGTGAACTCCTCTCTCAAAGGCCGGCATCGCACCCACAAAAAATGGGTGTCTATGGGCTGCAATGACTGCCCTTTTTGTGGGTCCCGTAGGCTCGTATGCCCCCCTAAAGTGTGCCCTTTTCGCGTTTTCGCTGAAAATGCGAATATTAACTTTAAGTAATAGTAGTTTTAAGTTATAGTATTATTGTTTTGCATTGTTCTACAATATTTTTGTCTTTTAGCTGAAGCTTAATTTAACAATAAAAATGCTTAAATGTAATCGTAATTTTCATATAAATAGGTTATCGTTTTTTAAAATAGTGAAATCACTAGACCAAAGATTATCTTATCTTAATTACATTAAACACCCACTTAAATAAATCATAAAGCCATTTCGGGAAACTGGATAATGTGTTTCGATCGTAAAATTAATCAATCCATTTATCAAAAGCGCAAAGGTCACGGCTGATAAGAAAAGCATAAATATTCTCTTTGAGAACCAAATCAATTTGATCGGAGTCTATTTGAATGCTCTTCCGTCTTAGACGTAGCTTGTTGAATAAATCGATACAAAGAGCGAACTGTACTTACTTAAAATATAAAGAAATATAGTTTATTTCAAATGCAAACGTTAAAGATGTAATTCACCTAAGCCGTGTTTAAGCAATACTATTCAATTCCTAGTTTTTGTCATGATCTTCAGACGCTCGTATTTCTGTTTATGCTGCGTAG